GCAACAGCACAGAATCAGTGGGACTTTTTGATCGGTGGGAAAATTGATTGATTTTAAAGATTATACTTTGTATTCCATGACAGCATCCAGATAAGATTTTCCTGTTCTTCTATTTGCTGGTAAAATCCTCATACTTCAATTATAATCTCTCAGGATACCTGGTGCTCTGCATTTTAAAAACATAAACTACCTGTTTTCTATTAGCTGTTTACATTATTTGTGGTATTTAGATACAGAAAAAGTATATAAAATGCAGAATGATGTAATAATCTAAATAATTTGTGCGTGTCCCACATCGGTTCAGTCACTGGGTGGCCTTACCTCAGTTATCAGTCTTTCAAGGGTTTTTACAATGCTGCTGTTTTGATTTGACTTGTATAAACAGTCTTTATCTCTCTCTTACTGTATATTTACACAGTACCCTCACACAATTTTTAGTGAGTGGTCACATGCTGACACACACAGTTAAATTCAATAGCCTCCATCCACAGCATACAGATACATACACATAACAGCCATCCCAACATCTGAAGGAAATGTTCTTTGAGGGGAGGTTGTGCCCTGAAGATGTGTATTCATCTCTCTCTTATTAACCTTATTAGCAGCTTCACTGACAGAGCACAATGATAAGGGTTGCCAGGATGTTGCTGTTATTATTGCGCTAACTCTGTTTTGAGACTCAATAACTCTTCACCCACACAAAAATGCAATCAGAGGAGTTTTTAATGCGTGTGAAGAAAGCAACCACCATTTGTTTCTGTTTCATTGTGCTCAAACTGAGCTGATTACGAAGTGTTTGTGATTTTTTTCTTTATAAAATGTACTTCTTATATAATCGATTTGCAACTAAATCTTGCTGTTGAATTGACATAGTTGTCAAACCTATAAGTAAACATATACATATTGAAAGATATGTACACATGTACAGATACAGGTCCAGAGAATGAATCCATTGTCTTTTCAGTGGTACTATCTTATATTTCACAGATGCATACACAGACTGGATTCAGACTCCAGCATCAGCACATCAGTATCAGTCAAATCAGTCAAGCCAAATGATATCCTGTGCTAGGCAACCGTGCCATCCTGGGGCAGATGGGAGCATCTGATCATGTTTATTTTACTTTAATCTAATGCATTAAAGTCTGCCTTCCCATGCTCTCTAAACAACTTCCCACTTCTAAATATCACTGCTTGTGGAAAGAACAGTTCCATTTTTTTTCTCTGACATTTCTGGAGGAGTTTCATTCCTCCTTAGATACTGTTTGACTGGTCTCTCAAATTTGCAGACAGGGCTATGGCAGGGAACACTTACAACCTTTTTCCATATTAGGGCGTCATTTAGTGGTTAGCACCATCGCCTCACAGCAAGAGGGTTCTGGGTTCAAGTCCCAGGGGGAACCAGGACCTTTCTGTGTGGAGTTTGCATGTTCTCCCTGTCTCTGCGTGGGTTCTCCGGCTTCCTCCCACAGTCCAAAGGTTAGGTTGATTGGACATTCCAAATTGCCTTTAGGATTGAGTGAGTGTGGGTGGTTGTTTGTCTCTGTGTGGCCCTGTGATGGACTGGTGGAGCATCCAGGGTGTACCCAGCCTCTCGCCCATTGACTACTAGGATAGGCTCCAGTCCGCCCTGCAACCCAATTAGGGAATAAGCGGTTACGATAATGGATGGATGGGAGTCATTTACACTGAACAGATGTCATTATATTTTTAGATGTGGCTTCCTATGTTACGGAATAGTGAGGTAAGATGTTGGGGTGTGTGTCTTACCACTGTTTAACCATAATCTGGGGTGGAGCAATGAAACAGATCAATCCAGCTACACCAGTATCCAGTTTTGGCCGTTGCTCGTCTACTTTTGTTAACAAACTGGATGTGTTTTCCAAGACTTCTTGCCACTCCTGTCACTCCACATTCCCTAAAAAGAAATCTGATTTACACTCCCTACTTAATCTACTCCATTTGTTGTTGCACTTTGAGAGTTTTAGTATGTTTGTTGGTTACCATTTAACCAATTGAACATCTAAAACTAAAGTCTACTGGGGAAAAAAATGTATTGATACTCTAATTTTGCTAAACCTTACAAATGCTTTATCTCAGTATTTGTAGATCACATTATGATCAGTTTCTTTCAGCACATTTGATCATTCTAGGCATTAAAGAAGTTATCCTTTCTATGATGATGATGATGAGGATCAGTTATTGCTGCCTGAGCTAAGTTTCTATTTTACATGCCATCTAGAATTTGGACAGGAGACAACACTCCAAAACGGTCACACGGAAAAAGCAACGAAACTGTGAATTTCACCAAGCACTCAGTGCCAGATTTTTAAAATACAGTGCTACAGAAAATACAGCAAGTACTTAAATGCACTGAAATGTCCACCAATATGCTGAATATATGATATGAGTAATATTCAACCAAACAACAAATGTGGGGAAAGAAAATATTTAAACTGACGCCTAATTTTCCTTAAGAAATAGCCCCAGTGCTTTATTTTCAGTCCCCTGTAGCAGGTGTGCTTCTAGGCATTGGTTTTCAAGATATTCATCTGATAGGTTGTTACAAGCACCCTGGAGAACTTGCCACAGCTTTTCTGTGGATTTAGCCTCCCTCAGACGCTTGTGTTCCTTTGGTAATCCCATATTGACTTGATAATGTTGTGATAAGGGCTGTTTGGAGGAGGACATACCATCTGGTGAACGTTTCCTAACTTTTGTTAAAACTAAGGACATTTTACGACTCCATATAAGGGCTGATCGGGACTGATTAAATGCCTCGCTGACAGAATTGTGAAGTATATAAATATAAGAACTTAAACTTTTGAAGGGTAGCTCCTACTTGTGAAGGTACATGAAAACAAAGGGAATGCTATTTCATGATGACGTTTGCCAAACTGTTTCTGAGCTCATCTGCCTCGACGCCCCGCATTTCCATTGACAAAACTGCGAGTCCAGTGGCATTGTTTATCACCTCTGGAAGTTTCGTATACGTTTTCTGTCCCATTTCAGCGTACATTGGAAATGGAATGCCAAGTGACTCATCAGAGCTGGTCTGTCTGTGGCTGCAAGCTGGAGGGGCTTTAGGCTCTTCATCCCCCCTGCTGAGTCTCTATCCCAACAGGCTTAGTGGCACAGGCGAACGCAGCTGCCACATGGCTGGATGGGTCATAGACATATTGCTCCATCTCAACCACGATAATGAAGTCACATATACAAACTGATTAACAAGAGATATTCATCTTGTGGTAATCACACAAACATACATTCAGAGACTAGGCGTTCGCCACACCTGCAAATCCAAGTAGTTTTAACTGGCTCAGATGGATTAGCTTGTTTTGTGGAGTGGAATTTAATGTCCCAGGTTTGGCCGAAACCCACGAGCAGTTTGGGCTGTGCCCTGATCAAACTTGCTTCGCAGTTTTTTGTTTCTAAAAATGGAATTGTAGAGTCTTGCATACCTCAAAAGCTGAACAGCTGGTTTGTCAAAGAATTTCTGGTCTCATCCCAAGTTTTCTGCATGAATGCATTTTTGTATCACATTTGGGTCCTTAATTGAACGTGTTGCTGTGCGTATTTTAGTCTCCCCTCACTTTCATTAACAATAGATTAAAACTGTCAACCCAGTGATAACAGTGGGAGAATGTCTCTTGCCCCATGTTGCCTCATGCATGCAGTCACAACCATATCTGAGGACATTTTGTGTTGAAGTTTGATCTGGACAACCTTGTGTCCTCAGCTGTGTTATCACCTAAGAGCCAACTATTGACATGTACTGTGGCTGTGCACAGCGTAAGTGGCCCTGAGGCAGTGTATGGGTCTACACAACCACGCAAAGCAGCACTGCTGACACATTATACAAGAAATAAATGACTACTGTTTTTTCAGGAAGAAGTTAAGTCAAATGGCCCTTTTCCAGTCTCAGTGCTGCACCTCTCAGGAGCTCTCATGCACTCTTAGTTCGTGGCTTTGCTCTTCACTTTTGATCAGCCTTTCCCTCCCTTTGCGCTGTTCCGGTTAGTTATGCAATCTCCGTGCCAGTATCATTTGGGACCTAATATCGACAGTTGAGCTCTTTACTGTCCTTTTACAGCCCCTGTGATTGGCTGACCTGTTCCAGACAGCTGGGAAGTTTGACACAGAATTACAGACAGAAAATGATCGGTTGCATAAAATACGCATGTGTGTGTGTGTGAATGTTTGTGCTTTACATTTGACCTGGCCTAATCACACGCATGACAGTCACTGGCACCTACCAAACTTAAGTTACATAACTTGCCATGTGCATGGGTTTAAAAACAGTCTTGCCAGTTGATGTTATGTGACCAGTGTTGACTAGAAAAGACTAGAACTCTGAGATTTAAAACATGCTCAGTCCTAGACTTACAAACAGCGCAAAATTCCTCACTGACATGATTCTTTTTTATCCTTTTACGATAAAATGGGATTATAATACCTGGTTGCCCGATGGGTAGGTAAAAAAAACTCACAAACGACACCAAATCTAAACCAGGTCAGCTATGCCGAGGGGATTTCTTTTGAGCAAGGGCAATTTCTGTCCATCTTTATCCCACGATAGCCATCCCTGTTAGACTGATATACAGTGTGTTTCCACTGTTTAGCGCAGTAATTTGAAACACAGTGAGTGGAATGGTTTTATTGTCAGAGGAAGCCTTCATAGATGTTGAAAAATATGAAGAAATGAAAAGTATGACCTTTTTCTCTGACAAACCCATATTTAAAAGCTGATATGAGAGATGTGGTTCCTGCATTCTGTGTACCCAACCACAATGTGGAGTGTGTGGAATTGCCTCTATACAGTCAATAAATCTTTTAGGCAACTCTAACCTGCCGTCTGGTAAAGTCTCTGCACTCTATTCTGGGGTGGACAAACATTGTCTTCTTTAAATGAAAAAAAAAAAACCTTACCCACAGTTCCACCTACTGTCACATTTGGGAAGTGCATAATTCAAAAAGAAAAGACAAAGTCACTCTTAATAAAGAGTTTATTCTAAGTAATAAATTATGTCTGACACATTTATTTGTGTCTGCTAAATCCACATAAGTATGTATACAACATATGTACAAACACTTGAAATACACTGCATTATCTTGTCGTTTAGCAATCTGCCTCTAACTTCTGAAGAGATAAAAACAGGAAGCCATTATTGTTATGATCTGCCCCCAAAAAGGGCTATGTTCAGTATATGATACATATCTATATCTCTACCAAATTCACATTCATACAGCTGGCTACAATGACTGCAAAGACCTATGTCTGTACATAGCGTATGATTTCACTCAGGTCATAGCCGGTCACTGCAAAAGCATAGCCGTCGCTATCACAGAACTTAGCCCCGCAGATTTGTGTATCCGTCACACACTCGTTATGCAAATGGCCAATCTAAGAGGAAGACAGAAAAATGTGATCAGATATTGTGCGAGTAAGAGGACAAAATCCTAAGAAGTGTCTGCTTTAGTGTTTTTAACTATTATGAATTCTATGCTCTGATCAGTTACCTCCACACTGTTGGTTTCTGGTGTCATAGTAACATTCCACACCCTGACAAAGGAGTCCTCAGCAGCAGACAGGAGCTAAGAAGATTAAAAAAAGAGATAAACTCTCATATAAGAGATGCGAGAATGATGAAGAATCAAGAAATTATAATTCATTTAAACTCATTTTTGCAAATCAGTTTTGTGATTTTTCCTCACAGATCATTAAAGATGATATAAGGAAGATGAAAAAAAAAACATTACAAATTATATTAAATGTATAAGAAAAATACAGACTATTATGGAAGTTGGTTTTAAGTATGCAGTGAACCGTTCTTGTTCATCAGTGACTGTTACTTCACATTTACAGTAAAAAATTAATAAAACTATCCAAACATCCTGTCCAATCAGGCCAAAAACTAAGACAATGTCACCACCATGTTGCAGAGAGACGATAAGGTTATTTAGCTGACAGGCAGACTTTTAATAACAGCAGAACTAAGCTTCATGAAAAAACAGAGAACTCCATTTTAGACTCAGCTGTGTAAAATACTTTCCCCTGCATAAATAAAAAAAAAACAATTTTCTTTCTGAGCATTGGCTTTCTTGCCACAGCATTGTCAAGGACAACATTAATGTTTATGGTTTCAGTGAAGATAAATCCCTACACATAATAAGCCAGTGTCAGGGAGTCTTATAGTTGACCCTGGGTTTCTATATTACCTCACTAACTGAGACTTGGCCAGACATCTGCACAAAATATGTTGACTGTGGACAAGTGAAGTCAAACTACTAAGATCTGTCCGATTTGACATTTGAAGTTATAAAAACTACCTCAATAAAAGAGGAAAAATGTTGCCCAATGTTTTATCTCCTGCTTTTGGTGTATAATACTCACCAGTCCGGAAAATGGAGCAATGTCCAGTGAGTATATCCAGCGAGCATGAGCGTTGACTTCAGCATGCAGAATGCCTGTTATTGCCTCATAGAGTCGGATAAGGCCCGTGCCATAACCTGCCACCACTGTGCCTTTCCACAACTTGACAGATGAGCAAGTCACGCTGACAGCAGGAAGAAACGTGAAGGACCAATGACAACCGAAAATAAAGACAGAAGACAATCAAGATCAGGTTAGGTAAGCCCCGATACAACATATAATGAATCAAAGGAGAGGGACATCATAAAAAAAATATAGAAATAAAAGGAACATTACACACAAACTCGCACAATGTCTTTTACTTAATTCTTACTCAAAGCCAGAGATCTTGTTGAGAAGTTGAAATTCCTCCCCAGACTTCCATACACACAAGGTGCCCCCATCATCAGCTGTTACCAAGTTAGCTATGTAGCTCTAAAGGACAGAAATTACAGAAAAAATGGTTATGCAATTTGTTCACAAGTTTTGGTACTACTATATAGAATTATCATATATTTAGATGGTCTGTTATTCATGGAGCAAAACTATCACATATGAACAGATATTCAAACTGCCAGCACAAGTCATACCTGGCAGCCAGAACACTCTGATGCTATATCAGTAATTGACTCCTTGTGCTCTTCCAGGACTTCAGACAAGGTGATATTACTTCCTTTGCTGGGGACATCAAATACGAGGATGGCACCAGATGAAATGCCTGACAAAACAAACAATCACACAGCTTTCACCAACTCGATCACTGTGTCCACGAGGGATTCTGTCATACAAGTTGTAAATGAAGCCCTCCTTCAACGCACCTGATTCAAGCAGCAGCTTAGAGTACAATGAACCCACAACTTACCCACACATATGTAATTCTCAGCCACTGCGGATATTCCCCGAGCAAACATTGCCTGTGCTGGGACAGAAATTACATTTCTGAGTGCACCAGACTGAACAAAAACACCAGTTTGATTTTTTCTTCTAATGAACAAACATTTAAATATAAGAATAAGCCCCATTGAAGAACATGTAAAGAAGCGTGTGGGCAAACAACAACATGAAAGACACGCCTTTACCCCAGTGAAGGCATCGGTGTGTAGTAATTTTAAAGGATTCACAACAGTTTACCTGTAGGTGTTTCAGGTGTATCCAATGCATGCCAGTACACCATGATAGAGCCATCAGATTCATACATCTAAAAACAACAGATCAGTCTGAAAGTCAAAGGCTGCATATGCACATTTTATATAAAAACTCAGCATTACACATCTGTTACAGCTAAACCAAGAAACAACGGACACATTAACTCCTTCAAAAAAATTCAATGTTGCGTCAAAGAAGAGCAGGAACTAACCTGGATGCCCTTCTGAGATGTCACCACCAGCAAATCACGAGATGGCAGAACACAGAAAGCGGCCTGTTACAATAAAAAAGAATATTTATTTTAGTCCTTGGCTCCAAGACCTGTCCCACAGAGCAAAGCAAGATTATGCACATGTGCAGATCACAAGTCACAAAATGACTAAAATGTCAGATCCAATGGGTAAAAGTGTCTGAGGATGGTACAAAGCAGCTGCTTTAGGGCCTGACCTGCATGATGAGCGATGTGCTTGTGGCCACATTGGGCTCCTTGGACTGCAGCTGACGGTGGGAGTAGTTGAGACCATCCCAGGACGCGCTGACCATGTTGACCACGTTAGCATGGACTACCGTGAAGTAGGTGAGGCGCGTCGGTGCGATGCGCAGCACGTCGAGGTTGTTGTACAACGCCGAGGCGCTGTTTTTAATCTGGATGCTCCTCTCCTTGTGATACATCAGGCCACCTTATCTGAACTGAACGTAGTATCAAACAGCGTGCTATCTGAGGTCAGTCTAAGGGAAGACAATAATAACACAGTCATAATTTAGTCAGCACTCTCAACTGATCTATTTAATAAAAATACCGGAATCAGTAAGCCATTATTCTCATATCATATAAACGATACCTATCTTTAGCGTTGGGATTAGCATGTTAGCTAGACAGCAACAGCAGATATAAAGGGTAAAAGCGGAAACATTCCAGTTTCATGGAAACACTGAACATAACTTGCTTTCGCACTACAAAAGTTTGATCTCTCAGTCCATCGGCGCACTTGTTGTTAATTATTACACAAGTAACTGAAGCACTTCTCAGGTTAGCAAAAGGATTACCTGTGCCTGCTCTGCAGCCATAGAGACAACGCACTTCTACGTGTTACGTCATTTTAGCGTACTTGTTGCTTAGCTACCACGGGCATTACTGGAGTTTGGATACAAAGAACAGTAAGGTAAAGGCCTTAAATCATTGATTTGAGTTCCTGAAAGTATGAATGTGGTTTTAATGGTAGCTTGGTTGATCAAATAAGATGCCTAAGAGATGGGAAGCTTTTGGAACTATAGTAACTCGGTATATTTTATCCTCCCTAATCTGTCTTGTGTAGGAGATCCCAATAGTCGACCTAAAAATATATTTTAACCATTCAAAGTTTCTAACTTGCTTTGACTACACAATTAATGAATCCTCAAGAGGTCATTGCTGCCAGCAGCAATAAATCTTGCAAAATGACAGCATCGATGAATTGATCCAGGGGTTGGGGTACAATAGTATCAGAATTTTCCTATCTTCCTCAGTATATTCCTGCATGTCTTTTATAAAATGTGTTTTTCTCTTATCTGCCGATTTATGTTACATATTTCACACAAGCCAAGATGCCTCGTTCTGCTACCAAGTCCAAATCCGACAAGCCTAAAGGCAGAGCATCTGCCAAAGAGACCACACCTGTGGACCTTGAACCAAAAGCAGATGCTGTCATCCCTCAACGCTTTAATCAGGTCATGTGGACCAATATGTTAATCCAAGAGGACACAGATGAAGTTGTTGGGGAGATTATGGACGATCTGCTCATCCAAGTGATGGATGGCTGTTATAAAGTGTACATGGAGAGACAGGTAAAACTGAATGGCTTATTTTAAATTAATTTTTAAATTCACTCGTGACACTGACTCTCATGAATTGGTCAATGAAACAATTTATTGTTTTCAGTTATTGCACCCTCACATAATATATGCAAGTATAAACAGATATTGTTTGTCTTTTTTCATGAAGCTTGCACATTCCTGTGCTTCCTGGGCCAAGAGTTATATCACACAAATTCTAGAGCACAAGTTTTGGTGCCTAGATGCAGAAGGCCTACAGGAGGCATCTATAACAGAGGACTCAGAGCCATTGCCAGCACCTCCAGATTCTTGGGCTCAGGGATGTGTTCCTGTCATACATACTACTCATCAGCCTCATCCTACTATCCAAAAGGTACTCTTTTGCAGATATTTTTCTCCTTTTCAACATAAAAAAAAATCTCTTTGTTTATTTTTTGTAAATGTTTGTATTCTTTTCAAACAGAACGTTGATTCTGCTCAAAAGCAATGTGATGTAATAACCTCTCTGCAAAAGCAAGATGAAAACGAAAGCTCGAGCCAAGGAAAGCTAAAGACTGACACGCACTATAATGTGCTGAGTCCTTTAACGCCACCAGAAACAAACCGTCAGAGAAAGAAGCAGGTGACCGTCCCTCCCAAGGCTGTTCCAAGCAAATCCCTACCATCCCTGTCCTGCTCCACTGCTAAACAAATTGTGGAGGGAGAGGGTAAAAAGTCGCAAGGCTCTGTTGATAGACGGAAATGTGCATCTTTACATCATCTTAAAGACTGCAAGCCCATACCAAAACTGGATCCTCTTTCCTTACCCCGTCATTGGATTGTTCCACAGTATGAAGTTGTGGACAACAACAAAACAAAAGCCAAACCAAAAAGACTCTGCCAAACAAATAGATTTTAAATTAATTCAAGCCAGCAAAAAAAATAAAAATGCTGAAACCATGAAACAGTTGCAACGAACATCCAGAAAACCCTCAGAGGAGCGCAGAGGATATCTGTGAGTCTTAACAGAGGAAACTGAATCAAATGGTCTTTGCCAAGGGCATTTCAGTCTTGGATTCTCAAAGTGTTGAGGTGAATACTCAAAAATGAAACTAAAGGACTCCATCTGCTGCCTTATTCAGTTGGTTATGGTGCTTTGATTTTTTATGTAACTTGGTATTTTTGTTTTATATGACCATTTTCAAAATCAAAATGAAACTGATTTGCTGCATGTTGGAGGATCACTGGAGATGCTCTCTAATACTGAAAAGTAGTGTGTTTGATGTCAGATAACACAAAAACATGAACGATTATAACATCTTTGGAATAAAGAATCGCATTGTATATATATACAATGTATATATGCACGGAAACATTTGACCTCTGTAATTGCATACACAGACTACTGTACCAAATATTAACATTGATTTTCTCAGGTGTTCAAATACCTATTTGTAGCTGTATCATACAAATAAATAGTTGATAAATCATACAATGTGGTTTCTGCATTTTATTTTCAAGATTATGTCTCACCGTGGACAGGCACCTACAATTTGAGTCCCCTCCATGATGATCATTTATCCATCTATGCATTTTTCATGCTACTTAGTTGCATTACAGCTAAAAAAGGAAATATATCTATATATATAGTGAGGAAAATAAGCATTTGAACACCCTGCTGTTTGCAAGTTCTCACACTGATAGAAATTATTGCATTTTCCAAACAGTATGACCCCTCTCAGTGAAAGGGACATCGGGAAAGTAAGACACAAAAATTACAGAAAAGTCCAAATCAGAAAAAAAGGTTTCCACCAGCAATACATAAGAACACAACAAAAATAAAATAAATAAGAGACACTTAAAAAGTGAACACATGAAATTCAAAAAGTGTGAACAAAGCTCCGCTTTAAATGGATATTAAAAAGAGAAATACTCTGCTGGAGTCATATGGTTGTTTGAGCCTGAATCAAATTGTTTAAAATGGCAAGGCTAAATAAAAATTTTAAGAATTGTACACAACATTTAAAGCATGCTGACAACATAGCCATGCGTTCCTGTTTGCGTGATGGACTTCCGTGTTCCACCGAGAAGTGGCCCAGAAGCAAAAGCGTCACTGGTAACTGCTCACTCAACCTACCATGCTTTAGGCAGGCGGGACAGATTTGGAAAAGAAGCCAATCATCACTCAGTTCCGGTGCTTGTGATCCAATCAGAGAAACATCAGTGCGGTAGCATGCTTGACATATCCTTAGCACATGTGAAAGCTAAGAAGCTGAGCATAGTTACACTTTCTTTAGTAGCAGATCAGTTTATACATATAAATCTTTTTTAACATGAAAAAGAAACAGAGGACTGCAGTGGAACCTGTAGAGGTAAAATTGGTTTTATTCATACATTTTAGTATTTTTGGTATCTAAAACATGTGCCACCCAACGGTCTGGGTAGTTTTATTTAGATATGTTTCACGCGCTTGTCTGTTGTAATGGTTACATCGGTAAAACATGTTTAATAGTTCACAATACAATAAGGGTTTGTTATGCATATTTTAAACAGGCAACCGGAGTTTTACATCTGTTGTTAAACTGCTCCTTTTTTTTCGTGCAGATGTTGCCCTCACCTTCCTCCCATGATGAGGAGGACAAAAACGAGGCTTCTGTTAAAGCCAAAAGAAGCAAACAAATGGAGCCAGGGCAGGAGGAGGTGGTCTATCATCCTGTTAAACTGTCCCGTAATGATCTGTACAGACCTCCTACAGCAGAAGAACTGAGCCAGCTCAAAGAGGCTGAAAGCCTGTTTCACTGCAGCCTTCTCAAAATGCAGGTAAGATCAATGATATGAACAGAAATTAGTAATCTGTAGGAAACAATAACTGTAAAAACTGTCAGCACAGTCTATGTACAAACCTTTTTTTCACGCTGATAACAGATGGATGAACTTCTGAAAGAGGTTGCATTGGGTGAACGCAAGAAACAGGAAATCGAGTCATACATTCAGACTATCACCAAACTGCTCCAGACTGTGCCTGATTCCCCAGAAGTTGAGGTATATTTTGATAAAGCTTAATTCCACCTAACCACATTCAGTCCTGTCTCTTACAGATGTGATATCTTTTCTCTCTGCTCTGTCAGGTTAATGACGTCACCTGGCTGTCCGGTGCAGTTAAGGTTCCCTTTCTCTTTGTGCCCAAAACAACAAAGGGCAAATTCCACATGGCTCCTCCAGCTTCCATCGACTTAATTGGAAGCTTTCCTCTGGGAACTTGCACCAAACCACACGTAATGGTGGACCTGGCCGTCACAATCCCAGCTGTAAGTTGGTGTTTACGGTCTTGAGTCTGATGAGGGAAAGACGCAGTGTAACGAGCAACGCTGACTGTGTTTCTGCTGACAGGACGTCCTCCACCCAAAAGACGCCATAAACCAAAGGTATGCGAGGAAAAGGGCTCTCTACCTGGCAGGTCTCGCTCAGCACCTCAAGTCTTCATCTGAAGTTGGGACCATGCGTTATTCCTGTCTCCATGGAAACAGATTGCGACCAGTCCTGCTCCTAAACCCTCCAGGTACTTGAGCTTTGGTTAACACCGCGCGGTGCCGAACGCTTCCAGTCTTTGACTCTGTGGCCTTTACACTGCAGGACTTTCTTCAGAAATTGCGAGATCACGTTTTGATTTTAGGTGAACTACACTTTGCTAATCATAATCTTTTAGGTAAAGGCCCCCCTACCTTCAGTGTCTGCGTGCACGTCTGCCCCCCTCCTGGTTTCTTCAAGCCCGGTCGTTTCCATCCCCAGAGGAATAACATCCGGACGGAGTGGTACACCGGCCTGCAGAGCTCCCAGTCTGGTGAGACAGTTTACTGATATTAAAACTTGATTGGATTTAAAAAGAATTCCCCCATAAGTGTAATAACATTCAGGTTGGTGGTTTCGGTTGTCCTCTGATAAGGCTAATAAACACACAGAGACAACATTTAAGACTATACAAGTGGTGGATTGTGTACAAACTTTTCAATAATTTTTTCACGCTTACTCTGGAATCGTTAAATGTTCCAGAGTACTGTGAGAGGGCAGATGTCTGCAGCTTTTGCCCTGCACAGCTTGCCTTTTTCTACTGAACCCCTGACTAAAGTATCCTGAACATCAGAACGTAAGCGATTGCCAAGGCTTCCGCCGCACTGTTTGCTCTCGCTGGTGTTCCAGCAGGGAGAGTACATCTCCCACAGGACGTTTCCCACTGTGACCTGCTTCTGCAAACAGTTATCGGGAAAAATGCGGGCCAAACTGGTCGCTCCCAGCCTTTAAATGGAAAGTTAAATTTCACTGAATTATACAGGCTGCCCTGGGGTTTGATGGTTACCGTTTCCTCTTGTCTTGCATGTAAATAAAACGGCTATGGAAAATGGATGATATGCTGAAAATGTCCGTGGCTTCTTTCAGGGGGAAGTGAACCTCCAACCCCACACTACAACAGCTCGGTTCTGGGGGATTTACTGCCCAGGGCTCACCTCCAGTTTCTCTCCGCTGTCAGCACCCAGTGCCCTGCCTTCACCGATGGGGTGGCTTTGCTGAAGGTGTGGCTCCATCAGCGAAATCTTGACCGGGTATGACATCCAGTTGCTTATTCCATTTTTTTTTTTTTGTTGCCTTTTCTGTACCTTGATCTGAAGAATGATGCCTGTTCCCCTCCTTCAATGTCTGACAGGGAACTGGTTGTTTTAATGGTTTCCTGGCCTCTATGCTGTTGGCTTATCTGCTGATCACGCACAGAATCAGCAACACCATGACAGCCTACCAGCTGCTTCGCAATGGCTTGAACTTCTTGGGTAAAGAGAAAAACAAATCTTAGAACCACTCGTGTGAAGTCCATCGCTGGGAACTCACTTCTCATCTATTTTTCAGCTTCTACAGACCTGACAGTTAACGGAATCAGCCTTTCTAAGGAACCTGACTCAACAGCCGTGAGTGCACTAATTTACACAGAAAATAGTTTCTAGGATTTCCAGCCCACAGACCTTTCACTGTTGTTTTCCCTGCAGCCTTCTCTGGCAGAGTTCCACGATGCTTTCCAGGTTGTGTCCGTGGACCCCTCAGGACATCTTAACATGTGTGCTGACATGACAGCTTGTACTTACAGACAGGCATGTACAGTTCGTGCGTTCAGATCGTTTGTGCCCAACGACATAAATGCAACATGTTTAAACTTTTTTGGTCTGTTTTTCAGCTGCAGCATGAGGCCTCTGTGTCAATGGAGTTCTGGGACAACCCCACGATAGATGGGTTCCACTGCCTCCTCATGACTTCCAAGCCCATGATACGGACTAGTGATCATGTCTTTCAGTATGTCTTTAAAAAAATAAATAAATAAATAAAAAGAAAATATATTTTTTTGATCATGGAAAATAACTTAGATACAGCTCATTCTGTTCATAAAGCCTAACACTCGCATGGTATTTTACACATGATATATTCCAATGTATGAAACTGTTCAGTACAGTAATGGAGGAATTGTTTTTTACATCCTGGACCTCTGAGCTCTTCTGTGTTTTTCCCTTTTCCTTGTAGGCTATGTGACCTGGTAAAACTTCAGGCCAGCTGTAAGAAGCAGAACCTGCTCGCTGAGCTCATGGACCACAGTGGAAATTATGTCCAGACGGCACTCCCTTTTATTTTGTCGCTCCTGGAGCAGGGACTCGGACAGAGGATACACCTCCTCACCCACTCCCTCAGTCCTGACCCTGAGGTTGTAAAGAGCTAACGTCTCAGTGACACAGCACTCGTTCAGTCTAATATCATTTCTTCTGTCTTAGCTAATATTTCCACTGTCCCCTGTTGAAGCATGGTTTTTATTAAATGATGTATAGATTGTGATTTTTTTAAAAATAATTAGTGTTTTTTTTCCACCTCACAGTGGTCTGTGGAGAGTGAAGCACCAAAGTATAAAGCTCAGCCTCCCTTGTCCTTCGGGGTGCTTTTAAGGCCAGAGCTGGCTTCGTCTGTCCTGGAACGAGGTCCACCTGCAGACAGCCCAAAGGTGATAGCATCGATTTCTCTTTTGTGTGTAGGAATTGTTTTAATGTTATACTACTATTAAATGCAACGGACTCCTTAACATTCATTGTTTAAAACATGGTATAAAAATAGAGTAATTGATAGTAATTACAGTAATTGGATCCCTGTCTTGCATTTGAATTAACATTGTGTTTAGTAGTTAAAATAGTTAGAAACACGAGTACTTAACTACAATTGTAGATGTACAATGATTATCTAAAGGTTTTTGATTGCATTTGCCTTGTTTTTTTATAAATCTGTATCTTCATGTGTTGTGCAGTGATTCACCATTTAAAGCGAATAACGATAATGATGGTCGTTCCTCTAGGCGGCTGAATTTCGTCAGCTTTGGGGACCCCGCTCGGAGCTTCGCCGCTTCCAGGACGGTGCCATCACCGAAGCTGTTCTGTGGGAAGGGAAGAGCATGTGCCAGAAGCGACTGGTCCCCAAACAGATCGTCACACATTTGCTACAGCTGTATGTATTTCCCTTAGGCAGAGCACAGAGACGCAACAGTCCAACCCTAACCCTAACCCTAACCCTAACCCAAAGCAGTCCCACACGGAGCTGCGTCTTCTCCCTACGCGCTTCATGGTTCACACGGAGGTGTCCGGCCAAAAAGCTGCAGATGCTAATTCACTGTTATTTTTGGGGCTTGTGGTGTCTTAGTATAAAATAAGGACAAAAACAATTTAGACCTAGTTTAATTTTTTTTCCAGCATGTTCCCACCCAACTAAGGAGGATTATTGTTTTGAAAACTACATATTCAAGCCAATTTAATTTCCCATCAGGCATGCGGACATCCCCGAGTCCTGTGTGCGATATGTCGGGGCCATGGTGGATGATGTCATCAAAACGGGAAGTGAGGTACGGCTTTGCAATTTAATTGACTTTTCAATCAATCAATCTATAGTTTTGAAAAAAAGTGTGGGTCTAACTTGGTTAAGCTCTTTTCTATTATTCACATTGAAATTATAACAGAATATTTTCAGTTAGTTTACCTCTTATATGATAAAAGAAGAGATGTTTGTGGCCTTTCACTGCAAATGTGGCAATTTAATGGAACCTGTTTCTGTTGCCTAAAGGACATGATAACCTCACTAACCAGCATGTGTCACTGTCCAACAGTGTTATTCATTTTTAAGAGTCGCACCATCTGAAAATGACAAATCTATTAAATACACCCAATCACAATAGCACAACTGCTTCTATCCACATATCTATGCTGTTTTAAACAATCCCTTATAGTTTCTCTGAAACTGTGTTTAAGGAAAGCGTATAAATAAACTACATTAAAATCATGCTGGAACAGTACTGAGAACCAATGCATATTTCATTGGAATATTGCATTGGTTATTATAATTTGCTTTTGTGATGACAAAGTGATGGCTTTTTGTAGTTCATATAAAATTCTGCTAAATGATGCAACCATGCCACCTACTGATGTACTTTGTTACCTGCATATCTCATAATAAAACAGGCTGTTTTATTATTCAGTAAATAATTACTAGACAAAAAGACAAACACCAAAAAATAAACTGCAGTTCCAGCTGTTTTTAAGTTCAGGATCAAATGTAAAGTGCACCAATCGGTCTAAATTTTGTTTTGATCAATTGGCCCTCAGGTTCCTAGCACTGGAGAGGAAGAGAGCTTAGTGGTGGTTCAGTCTTACGATGATCTCAGCAGAAAATTGTGGAGACTGGAGAACCTGCCTCTCGCCATCACTGCAGTACAAGGCGCCCACCCTGCACTGAGATACACACAGGTAAAGCCTCATGTCTATGATGGCAAACCTTTTTGTCAATAATTCTCCATTCTAAGTACTGGAGTGAGTTTCAGTATTTCCGGTGTGCCTTCCAGGTTTTTCCCCCTCAACCACTGAAGCTGGATTATTCTTTCTTCGAGAGAGAAAAGGTGTTCAAAGCACTGGTGCCAAGAGAAGGCAAACCCTGCCCCGCTTATATCACTCCTATCACAGGTTGGTACTTTATCCAAGAGCAATTTCTGAAAACACAGTTTAATGTTTTTTTTTTTTAATGAAAACATTTCTGTATCCATCCATCCATCCATCCATCTATATATTCTATTAACATATACATTCCATTTATCCTAATTGTCCTGATGCTGACTGTGAACACTCTTCTTATATGTATTCTTAAATCCAGCAGCATTTAGCTTTAAAAATGAAAATCTGTTTGTTACTCACTTTGTTCTTGCAGTGATCTGCCATATGGAGGGAAGTGGTAAGTGGCCAAACGACCGGGTCGCTATCCGTCATATCCGAGCTGCCTTCCATATTCGACTGGCAGAGTTGCTCAAGAAGCAGCATAATTACACAAGCAGGGCTACTCCCGCACACGTGGATGTCTGGAAGGTACATTTTTTTCTTTTCTTTTTTTTTTCATGAGGGCAGACAAAGTGCAGACCTTTCCAAATTAATGTGAAGAAATGTTGAATAGCCATGCTTCACTACCTTTCCTTCTAGGATGGCTTGGTGTTTCGAATCCAGGTGGCCTATCACAGAGAGCCTCTAGTGCTAAGGGAGAGTGTGAATGCAGAGGGGATGCTGGTGGTGAAGGACAACGAGGAGGCTCAGCTGCTGGAGATGGCCACCATTCACAAGCCTCTCCTAACCAGCACATTGCACGGGTACTTTTACAAATGGTGTCAACATGAGAAAGAAGAGTTAGGAGGTGTGAAGACTTTTAAATCTGTTATCTTCTCTGTTAGGCTCCAGCAGCAGCACCCATGTTTTGGGGCAGTTTGTCGCCTGGCTAAGCGCTGGCTGGCGGCTCAGCTCCTCAGTGATGACATTACGGAGGACACCGCAGATTTGCTGGTGGCATCGCTTTTCCTGCACCCCGCTCCCTTTTCTGCCCCCTGGTATGTACCACGTCTGTTTACAAGAAACGAAGTCTCATACAAAGTGGCAGCCCTCCTGTTTTGCTCAGAGGATCACATGGGTGAATTTCTGTTCTCAGTTCTCCTCAGGTGGGCTTCCTTCGTTTCCTTCATCTGCTCTCATCTTTTGACTGGAGGAACAACCCGCTGATAGTCAACCTCAACAGCCAGCTCACAGGCAAGCTCACACACACACACACACACACACACACACACACAACCACACTTCCCTCCACATGACCTAAACAAATCACTCCTGACCTCTTTTTAAAAAGTTGTTTTCTTTTATTTACACACCCAACTGATGTCAACATCCTGCCGATATGCATTACTGTTGCCTTTCCAAGTTTAATTGTTGTTCACGTCTCTCTCACGTGCAGCCGCAGACTACACAGAGATCAAGAATAGCTTTATGGCCTCCAGAGAGTCTCTGCCTGTCATGTTTATAGCAACGCCTAAAGACAAAAACCTCTCGATGTGGACCAAACGAGCACCGAATGTACAGGTCAGAGGACACATACACAAATGCACCGACACACAAAGCAGGGGTGGCATTCAGTAGATTTGGATCAGTAGGAAAAAAATTACAGCTTTGCCATGACACACGTGAAATGATTGTAAGGTTTTTTTCACAGCTTATCCAGGTGAACCCTAAAAGTGTTATAAACAGCGGTGTAGAAAAGAGTTGCACGTCCTCGGCAGAAAGCAGTCGCACAGTTTTCCAATCCGGGAGCCTTTCCTCAAAGCACACTGCTCCCCTGGATCACACTGAAATTATACAGAACCGTGGAGTTTATTGATATGTATTAAAACAGTTAATACTCAGCAGACACTGAAGATGTTCAGATGGACTCAGCCACTCAGTACTTACAACAGGCAGGTATCCATGCTTTTTTCTCAAAGCTGGAAAATGACCATTCTGAAGTCTTTCCAAAACCTGATGCAAGTCATTGATCTGGAAAATCAAAAGGTTTAAATAAAAAGTTGCAAGTCTTAAATGATAAATGAGAACATGAAGCATTTCTGCTTTTTTAAAAAAAAATTTTTTTACAGTCTACTTCAGTAATTATTTCACGTTTGTGGTTGCTTCACTTATTCCTGGAAGCACAACAGTTGCAACTTACCAGCTGCTTTTGATTGCTGTCCTCTGCCGATGTGATATAAGTTAAATATTTAGTTTTATATTCCTCTGTGTGCGTGTGACATAAGCCACGAAAGAGTCCAGCAAAGCATGCTGCATAAAAGAGAAGTGCGCGCCAGCCTCCCATGGTGCGGAGCTGACCCAGATAAGTTTCCTGTGTTCACCAACCTCAGTTTCCCCACACGTCCAGCTCTAACGCCGAGCCCCGCCCAGCATCTTCCTTTATAACCGAGGCAGATCTTAGTACTCTGTGACGTCGTGTCAGAGACGGTACTCTGAGTTTCATTTACCACGTGCCGCACTTTGGACGTGTGGGAACATTTCTGATGGTCCATCCCATCCAGAAAGGACGGACAGAAAGAAGTTAGGAAACGTTTCCCTTTTTTGAGCAAGAAGCTTAAAATCTGGAATTGTCACAACATCAAAATCTAATAAAAAATCAGGTGCTGTGAAAGAGCTGCACAGATGAAGTGTTGAGTAGAAAAGGGAAATAAGCACAAGGACACAGGGAATTATCACCTTGGTATGTGCCAGGAACCCAGTAGTATTGATGTGGACCTTACTCCTTTAAAAGTTTTACACTTTGAACAAAAAAAAGTGTTTGGTTTCTTCTCCTAAAATCTGTGATCATCTAGCAGTAGCTTGCCTGTGGGACTTTCTTACTGGCTACTTGTCATGTTTTATTTATTTTTGGCTTTAAGGTTCTTGTGCTATTGTTTGTATTGGTCCCATCTCTGGCTCTCTCCTGAAGCATGTTTTAGTTACTAATCATTATGTCTATGTTTTGTGATGGTCTAAATTAAAAATAGCCTAATTCCCACTGACGCTGCTTTTAGTCATTGTTTGTGTTTCTTTTGGTCAGCTCTGTCAGAAGTTTGAGGTGTCTCTGCAATACCTGCGATTGGCCACCAGGGGGCAGACAGCGATTTCAGGATTCAGTTAGTAAAGTTCAGTTTGAATTAATCCCTGATTCAGGATGGCTTAGAAACGTGTTCCCTTTTGGTAACTGCAGTGAAAACACATATTGTGCTTTGGACAGAGATTATTAATCATCGCTACTGAAATAATGAGGAGTTTTAAGAGTGAATGACGCAGGTGGGGTTGCTAGTATTCTGTTTATCCCAGAACACAGTCCAGTTTTTCAGCTTTATCTTTAAAGGAGCTGGAATCAGCCCATCAGGCCTTGGCTTGTGATTTCCATTCACCACTTGCACTTAAAAAGTGTCACCTTTGCTGCCATTGCCTTTCTCTTTTCTGTTTGAACCCATTTTGCACAGTTTGTCCCACAGTTGTATTTCAAAAGTGTTGTATCAGCATTTATGCTTCAATGAGGACTATTTGGGACTGAATGAAGCCCCCTGGCTGCCGGCGCCTTGCCGTGAATGTACACAGCACACCAACAGGGGGGAAAAAAAGACAGAACATGAACTAGAAATTCTGACCAAAATCGATTGACGTGGACTAATTCACGTTTCACATGCAGGTGAACTTTGTGTCAGTTTTCACGACACTGGCAACAATATTCGATTCGCATTGAATGCGGCGCATCGGGGAGAGAAGCTGCAGCGTTGGTGACCCAGTCGTGTGTTTTCAGATGCTGCAGCGTGCGATGACGGTGGCAGCGGAGAGTCTGAAGGTGCTGGAACATCAGCTGACGGACAGCAGCCAGACACAAGACGTCAGGGTGGGCTCAAAGGAATTAAAACGCAGCACTGTCTAATGGGGATTTGGCAGAAGTTTAACCGGCGTGCCTGTGTGTTGGTGCAGGTCATCATGCGTCCCCCGCTGGATGCCTACGACGTTTTGATTCACCTGAACCCGAAGCAGGTCCCGCTGCTCGGCCAGGCCGTGGATCCTCCAGCTGTCACCTTCAGCAGGGGCGCCCTGACCGACGGTGCGGCCCAGTCCGGAGGGGCCCTGCCCGTCATAGACTACAACCCCGTGAGCCTGTTCCTGACCGAGTTAAGAGTGAGTTTACAGGATAAGGATACCGTCATCGGCAATGCTTGGTTAAAACAAGATGCGCTTACAAAGCAGACCCATTCAGAGCCGATTCCAAGTATAAGCTGAACAAATCTGATATTTTTTTAACAGAAGAAAACTTGACCTTTTCTTTGCTTCTGGATGTAGGAAGCTTTCGGAGACCTGGCCCTCTTCTTCTGTGATCCATATGGAGGAATGGTGATTTCAGTTTTATGGAAACCAAAGGCCTTTGCTCCAGCAGCCTTTAAGGTAAGGGCCAAAGCGTTTTAACATAAAGGCATGGCTTTGTTTATGTGGTTTCTTGCTTTGCATGTGATCACTCATCAGTCTTAAGGGATGTTTTTCCATTCTTCTCATCAGACGTCACACATGTGTGCCCGGACTGTGAAGGTGACTGGGGCTGAAGCAAACACCGTTCCCAACGTGGAAGCGATACTGGAAGACTTCCGGGTCATGGGAAAGGGACTGGTCAAATCAGTAGAGGCCAAAACCGAGAAGTGGTCATTTTAGAAAGTCCAACCATCAGCCTCATTGTGGATTGTTAGGACTGAGTGGCCACAGCAACAACTCTTTTCAGAAAGGGCTTACAGCTTCTTTGTGACTGTAGGTGTTAATGTATTCTCCTTTTATTACTTTTGTTATTGTTCACAACATTTGCCGTTGTGTAAAAAAAAAAAAAAAATGCTTCAAGGCTTTGTAGTTCTAAGTATGTCTTCAAAGTACAGCTGAAATTAGTGGGAAAAGCAAATGGTGGGAATTCTGAATGTCTAACCATAAAACTAAAGACTTAAACTGGATTTATGTCTCTTTTCTGTTGATGTGATGCATTGTTACAAGTGTTCTGTGCAACAGTTTCTTTTTTTTGAGGAACTCCAAAGAAAGAATGTCATGCAGAGACTTGACAGCCAGACATACTGACGGATTACTAGTCACGGCAATACCTTATCACAGGGGTTCTAGTTCCTTGGAATACTATTGATGGAGATAATATCCATGCCCTGAGGATGTTCATATTTGAACAAGCCTGTAGAAATTGTTTGTTCAGAGTCTAACTTTAATGGGTAAAGTTAACCTTGCTTAGCAGAGCTGTGAAATACAGCGAAATTTAATCTGATCCTATAGCAGTCTGCCTTTTAAAATATATATTAACTGTACCGCTCAAAGAAATCCTGACTTGTAGATCATGTCAGAGCCTCAGGGCTCTGACTGCAAATACTCTCCCTTTAGCTGGGCCCCCATGATAGACTAACGGAATCTCAGAGGTATGAACCCGTGTGCACTGTTTGAAGAGGTCAGCTATGGTGTTGGGGAGAGGCCATCAGGGGCCTTGAGCCTGATCAGAAATATAAATCCTTAAATGCTCTAAGAGCCAATCTGAGTGGAGTGGAGTCTCACGGTTTCTGATGAAAGCAGTCCTCTGCATCTGGAGCTGATTTATGTGCTTTTGGTTACAGCAGGTAAAATGGTTTCTGCCTTTTTCAGGCGTGATGTGGTGAATTTGTGTGAATTTAAAAGTTAACATTGCATAGGTTGAATATTTCCAGGTTAGTAAAATTTAAATAAATGAAATCTGGATGTCAGCCCAGAACATGGGAATCTGCCTTTGTGTTGTCCTGGACAAATAAAATGTAGTCATTGGCACATGTCAATTGTCTGTCACTGTCCAGATTCTGGAGAACCTTGTGAGTAAACGTTGCTAAGTATCTATATCACATTTTAGTCAAGCTTAGAAACCAACCCAAAAAGTCAAATGTCCAGATACCAGGCAGATTACAACATACAGAATCTTTTATTCTTTGTTGATAAAGAGAACATTTTAAGGTATTGTCGTGGAGAATCTTCTTTTGTTTCTTTGTTAAAGCTACTGGTTGTTGATACTTTAGGGAGAGTTGTTTCACATGTCTGGAGACTGTGGTTTTAGTACCAGTAGGAAATGCAACAATTTCCTTAATCCCATCAAGGATGAATCTCCCATTCCTGTGTTTATCATTGAAATTGTACGACTGGCCTTTTGTGTTATCCTCACACCTGAGAAGATTCTCCTTTTGACCAATCCACATGGGCCCCCCTTCCTGTCTCCTAAGAATATGCATAGCCCAGTCTTTTTGGAGATTCTCCATGGGACTTCCTGAGGACTGAACTTTGTTTGTTGCTGATAAGAAACACAGTGGCCTTTTTCCATTCTTTTATCCATACTATGTTATAAAAGGGGACGTGCCTTTTCATCGGCGCGCACTCACTTGAGTTTTACTCTGTCACCTGCATCTTCGAACGCTCTTGCCTTCGAATAAATCTCTTTATTGGACAAGATCGATCTTCTTTAATTATTAAGAAACTTTGCCTCACTCATTTAAAGAACCTTTTCCATAACAGTATCATCATGTCTGAACACTGATAAGCTGCAATTGACAGCCTGGATGAAATGATAATGACGGATCGCAAAGGATTGAGGCTGAACATATTCCTTTCACTTATCACAGAATAGCTAAGGGAGGGAACCAGTCCATGGGCAGCCATTCTGTTCAGTGTCTACATCACTCTCACTGCCAGCCACAACTTGCATTGAGTGCAATGTGCAGTTTTTTGGGTGATATTTGCATGTGTAGAAACCTTGTGTTCGTCTCCGTGACTCATGTGTGTGTGACTGCTGTTGGAGGAATGCTCTCATTGCCAAGCATGTCGAAATGAGATGTTAAAGTTCCATGGCTTAATTTTCTGGTAAAAGATTAAATAATTAAACCGGAGAGGAGGAAAAAGGGCTGACAGCAGAAATTCTTCTACCACAAACCATTTCGTCGATGGAAAAATTATCCTACATATCAGTTTTCTAAATCAATGTGTTGCACATGTCTGCAGGATTGTAAAGTCAGCATTATTTGGCCTTATGTCCAAGATTAGAGTGACATTGCAAGATCCTTGTTGTCTCATTGTGACAATTTGTTTTACATGAATAACCTAAACTTGTTTAACACAAGCTAAAGCATGTTTATTGTAGTGACAATCACTGCTTTAGGTCTGTACTTGTTTTTGTCATGAAAAAAGGAAAAGGTTTTCAACTCGTATAACCTCAGTGACGGAAAACAAGGAGGGGAATCGACGAGATACACCAGCTGTGATTTAAAACCTGCATGCAGGATGTTGCTGGCATCTGTCCTGGCAATGCACTATATTATGTGTCTTGTTGATAGAAATCTGGACGAGCCCATGAGTTAACAAATGTGAAAGGAGGGTAAGAGAGACTCCAGGTTTTCTTTTCTCATGCTATCCTATATCTTGTTTAAGACTCTTTGAGCCTCTCTGTGTGACTCTGAGGTTGGTCTAAGATATCAGCTGGAGAGCTTCCACGGGCCACTGAGACAGACATAAAATCTTAGATACAGCCTTGGTTTTGAGCAAAGTGGGTACAAGATTTAACTCAAAGAGTGATGGAGTATTCAACACGTTTTGTATTGCAGTTGTGGTCTGAACACCAAGGACTTGAATTATTCCTTTAAATAAAAATGGAATGAACAAAGAAGTTTGCTATCCATGTAAATCATCCCTTCAGTTTGTGAATGTGTGCGCTGCATGTTTTTGATTATGTTTGTCGCAACATCAGTGCCAGTAACAGGCAGTGAAATGCGCTGCTCAACAATGTAAAAATAAGCAAACCAAAAAAAACAACAACACTGGAATATTCGTAGTTCCCATAATTACACCTCAAGCTGTGTCACCAGATGTGTATGCACATGTTTGTCTGCAGCTGTTGACATGCTAATCTGATTTACAGCGTACCATAATTATAGAGAAAGTGCCAAAAAAATTGAAATATACTGAAAGAACATCAACACCATCAACAAGGTTGAACAAGATAAGCTGTTTACAAATTATGTTTTTAGATTAAGTAATTGCGTTGCTACATCTTCTCGAAAAGTCTGGAAGTATTTATTAAAGTCTCGGCGAGAAGGAAGGGAAAAATATCCAGCATTAAGTTCAGTCAGGTCCAGTTTGAAGAAATGAGAAAGGTTTTTGTTTTTTTCAAAGGCCACACTATAACATCCATATAGTGGATGTCCTTGAGAGTTTATATGGCCTTTTACTGGCTTACAGCTTGACTTTCATTGTGTGTCTTTGTGTTGTTGTGTGCGCTTTTCTGTTAGTAACTATTTGCATAATCAGTAAAGTGAAAAAAACAAGCTGTAGAAGAACAAATTCCAGACCAAAAACTTAAAAATTACCTGAAACAAATACAATAGAACTGAAGATTTTCTGTGAAAAACCTACCATTGGCAAAGCTGCCTAGATTATTACTTGGAAGAGCACATAGTCAGTAGGAAATTGTATGACAACCTACAAATATCCCCATCATTTCCAATGAATTTCAGGAGAAGGAAAATATGTCATGTGAAGGGAAAGACAACATCTAGGTAAAATCTATCGCCAGATTCTACAGGTCTGAACAAAACACGCATGTTAATATGAATCTAGGTTGATTCACCTATGACACATCTAACATTACTGGGAAATGTGAATTTTGCAATGCCATATTACGACTACACAGATAGCAATTTAAGCTGATGGCAGAGTTCGAGGTTAGTCAGTGACAAGACCCGACATGACAGCCAATACCTTTTAATTTGGTTTTGGACCAGTACCATGGAGATTTTTTAGCATTTGCCTCATCCTACTGAACCCTGAAAAACATTCTATTAAGAAAAAAAAAAGAAAAATAAGGAATTCTAGGTTGGTTCGAAATAACCATAACTGACCATCAAAGTAGTTTTAGATTATGTTTGTGATTCTTGATACGCTGCAGTAATCTGCAAGCTGTGGTGTGTTCCAGCCTCCACAAGCTTTTGGGCTGATGAAGCTTGTGTGGAACTTTTTATTCAGAAAAATACATTTGCACACAAGACTAGTTTATCTGTTCTCTCTCTTGGGTTCTCTCTTTGGTTCTCCAGCTTCCTCCAAAAGTACAAAACATGCATTCTGGATTAACTGGAGACTCTAAATTATCCAAAGAGGAAAATGTGAGTGTGCATGGTTGTTTGTCTCTGTGTAGTTCTTCAATGGAAAAGGTGGTATAGATAACGGGTGAATGTCCATACTGGGTGACACATTATGGTTATTTGAAACTGACAACATTTTGAAAAAAAGAACAAGTACCGAAACAAGGTAGGAAAATCCCTATAACAAGAAAATTTTGCCACAATTACATTTATTTTTGTTTAGAAGTGAGTATGTCTAACTAGCATTGTCTGTTTAGGCAGAAACGGTTTTCCATCCTGCACTGTATTCATGACAGCCATCAATCCTTCCTCACCTGTCCTGTATACGAGCACCTTAATGAAAACAGCTGAACGGCTGGCACTCCCACTGGAAATGAACATCTGGTAAACACCCTGTAGATATGATCATCACAAAATCTAAAGCAGGGATCTGTTCCATTTCCAATGGATCCAAACATTAAAAATATAATTATAGAGAGAAGGCAAAGTAAATTAGATATGGCAGCTTGTATTTCAGTTGCAAACTGATTCTTCAGAAATCTTAGACCGGCCCACCCCTTTTTCTGTGTTAACCATTTTTTTGCACTGTCTCTGAACCAAGCTGTTTCTGGAAAAACAGCGGAAAACCGTCCGATTCAAAAATTTAGTTTCTGTGGTCTTTTCCATGGCACTCCTGAAAGAGTGGATAACAAAAAAATAAAGGTTTTCAAAAGGAATAAATGTTTATTAAAGATGGCATTGGGGGTGTAACGATGAGGAAAACGTTAAGAACAGGACTGTGATTTTTTTCTGCTATAGAGAAAGCAATTGTAAAGAAGAGTTGTACAACACAATGATCATGATGATATTACTTTTATAGAAGAAAATAAAATTATTATTATGTTTTTTTCAGATCTGTCCAGACAGGCCGTAGCCAGAAAAAAAGCCTGGGAAGGATTTCAGACGGTACACTTTGCTACGTGTATTTTGTGGGTTTTTATCCGAGTGCCAAAGAACTAGGACAGTTGGGTGAATTAGAGTGAAGATACATGTTGGTACTAACACAATAAAATAAAGGCTCTCTCAAAGAAGTCAGCCAGTATTGAAGGACCCTTTTGACTTGTTGTGCCTGTTTTTAGTGGGCAAAGAAGTTACAGTTCCTCCAATCCTAGGAAAGCTAATCTAGCTCCCACTAATGCATTGCGCAACTTTTTATTACGCATGCACTGCTGACGTGTGGCTTGCATGAGTCATTGTCTTTGTTGATAAAATACATCACAATTTACAATTTGCAAAAAAGTTGCTTGGTGCAGCATTCATGTTCTGCATGCCAGTGAATGGAATATTTTTCAACAAGCCTGTTGCTGGAAATTGATTTTAATCTTCACAGATTTTCAACATGTACAAAAAAATGACAAAAATACATGCTCAAAAATGTTTGGGTGTCTAACGTTTATGCAATCCGAGCAGATTATATCTTCAACTGTTACGGCAAAAAAAGGCAGAAAAATAGAAGAGGCAGAATAAAGCAGTGGTACGCTGATCCCAGCAGATATTTTCTCACACATCTATTGAAACCAAACAAAGCAGGTGTACTGTACGGTGATGAAGTTTCAGACAAATAACAAAAGAGCAGGTCAGAAAAAATGTGGTGCGGAGTGTAAGAGAAAAAAAGAACTGTGTGTGTAAACGGGTGGGAATTATTCTGCAAGTGCCTGCAAATAGGTGAGTTACATCACATTTCACATCTGCATATGAGAGGATAAATTTCAGATTTGATCTCCTCAAAATAGTAGATTTTTAGGCACACGTGTTTTGTGGCGCAGATACACACCTCAAAAAGTGACAGTGCCATCAACAATCAACGCAAAGCTCGGGTTAGTCAATGATCTTAACATCCCTGCAGGCGAGAACAGTCTCTCAGCTACTGACAAAACTCCCCACAAACTGATAAAAATCAGAAGTATTTTGGTTCAAAGATGGAAAAAATTGTTTTAAAAAATTGACTGAGAGGCTACTCTAATTAGTAGAGTAGTTTGTCCTCTAAACAGAGATGTGCGCTCTCAGTCAACAATAACTAAAAATAAAACAAGGAACATAAACAGTAAATATAGAACTATGGAATGGAAATGGGATTTGAAAGTGTTAATGAATAGACTTGACCAGAATTCCTTCTCAGATTTCTGCCAAGAGGAAAGCTATACTTCTCATGCTTTGGTCTATGTTTCACCAATTTGGCTATTTGATATGTATCCAACTCTGCCACCAGAAAGACAAACTAAACAGCTTCCTTTTTCTCCTACCTCAGCAAAATGTAGAAACACACAAACAACAAATATGTAAGCATGTGCGTGTCTCATGTACGTGAAAGGGAGGGGTTGCCGACACCCAGCAGGAAAACCAGTTCTTTGCAGTGGGTGGGTCAGAGCTTAAACTAGGCACCAATCCCATCCAAGCCCATCTCAACTATTTAAGAGGAGTCCTCTCCTCTCAGCTTCACAGCCGCTTCACAGACTCTACATAGTGTGCGTCTACTCTTCTCCCTGTCTCATCAGCCTCAGCCAGAATGGGTCGACAGAAGATATATCTGGACAAACTGGCCCGCACTTTCCAGATCCGCAACCTGCTACTTCGCCAGGCCCTGGCAGAATGTCTCGGCACTCTCATCCTCGTGGTAAGTCTGTCTACACATGTGGTCTGTGCAATAGTCAAGTTAAATGAATCAATGGACTGTGTTATACTTATATGGACAAAAAAGTAAGTATGAAAACAGTTAAATGTATCGGCTTACTTTAAAGTGAGGGCAAAAGGTAAAGAGAATCATTGTGGCAGGTAATCAGGAAATTAAATCACACCTACAGTGTGTGCATGCAACATGTGTAAAAATCTAATGAAAACCTTGCTATGGTTGACCTGTGTCCCCATCTTTGTATTCCATTCTCAAAGTAATTTTTGGTGTTTGTTTATTATATGATTGTCCCTAATATGTAATTTTCAGCCATATCATTATTTATTTTGTTCTAAAAATGATGATTGATGATAAGAAAATCTGTGTGTTATTCATAATTTATCTAGACTTCAAAGGGAGAAAGGCCCTATCCTTTGTATAGACTGAACAATTTCTCAAGCAGTGTGTAAACTCCCTCATGGTTTACCTTAAGGAACCGAGCTGTGATCAAACAAGAAAGAAACAGTTTGCTCAGGTGTTCAAAGACATATTTGCAATCTCTTATTTATTAACTTACCTGAAACTGAGAGGATGCAGGATCCCGGAGGCAAAAGCCTTTTTACCACATGACATGGAGTACTTTAGTGTGCACAGGAACATGCATGCTGTTTACTGGTGTTGTGGAATTTTCTATATATACGGGTCTTAGTCCGTCTTAAGACGTAAGGAATAGACATTTATTAAAAAGGGGAAATCAAGCTTCAATAAGTGAGAGCGACTCAGCTTGACCGCACCAGAATCATCCGACGTACCAAACCGCTCTGCCTGGACAGAATTTTGCATCGCTATTTATTGGCCCCAGAATCTAGTCAGCTAGGCCTAATCTTCCTATAAATATCCTGTGAACAATGAAAAAAATTGCATCTTTATTGGTGTAGGACAGTAAACAGTAAGTGCCACAGTTACAACTACAGTTACATCTATGATGATTGGTGTTTCCCCCTCCACTGGCATCAGACAAAAACTCTGCTCTCAGAACTGTCTGAATAGAAATGTGTCTGAAATCACTCTCAGGATAAAATGGGTTTTACAGGTGATTATTTTAATTCTAGTTTCACATGTTTCCCATAGCTTAGTGGGAAACCTAAAAGCTCATGTAACGACTTATCGTTCACTTTTCAAAAGTGAGGGGGAGGTTAACTTTACTGATCACTTGGGGATATACAAAACAGTGTCTGAACTCAGTTAAGTAATCCAGAAGCTTTTGTATTTTGTGTTTGTGTTTATCGGACAAATTACCATGATACAAGACAGGTTTTTGTCCAGCCCGAGTTCCGCAATATAAGATATGCATGCAAATCTCTAATTGTTCACAAGTCAGGTCATCATGCATAAGGAATGAAGGTTAAAAAACAGAAAGGCGTGGTGCTCTCAGTTAACAGGTTACATACGGTGATGGGAGCCCAGTGAAATACAGTCACACAACAATAGGTTTCACATCACTGGCATTGCTGACTTCCTCAGTTAGACATTGCTGAAGTTGACCATTTGGCCCTGCCATTGTTTTGATGACTCTTCTCATTTATAAGAGTGTGTGGGGATATCCTCTGAACTCCCAGCTCTTTGCCGCCATCCAGTTAGCTTTAATAATTTTGCAATCCATGTGAAAGAAAGCAGCACCGAGTGAGTTTTAATCTCACCTGCCTCTGTGAGAGGTAACTCGAAAAGAAATAATGGCCATTTTACTGGAGCTGGTTTGTTATACACTGAGAAAGTGTTTCGGTGCTTTGATCTGAGGGGCATCTTAAAGAGGGGCAGTGGGGTTCTCATTCTCAGTTTGAAAGTACTGCATTAGCATTATTTGTTTCAGACAGAATTCCTTTCCATCAGCTTTGAGATTGTTGCCCAGTGTGTGTCTTCAGTGGACTGGCTCTTTAGGGTGGTTTTGAAAAGCATTCTGACAGAGCTTGACTTTCGAGCCTCACACATGCATGACCATCTGGATCATCCAATTTTATGTTGGTTACAGTAGCAAAGTTAAAATAAAGTATTAAAACAGCAGCATATAGAGCATACTAGGCATATGAGACTATGTTCTCCTAAATTTAACAAGATCTTTCTGTTGAAATATGATCTAAGGAGGGAAGTTGGCACTTCAGGGTGAAGGCCTGTCATTTAAAACAATTGACATTAAGAACTAGAATTACTGCCCTTCAGTTGCATGTCTCCACACTCTAGAAAACTTCCATTTAATTTAATGTGGATGCAAGTGAATGCCTTTGCAAGATGTGACTGAATTCCTGTTGGGTTTCATTTATGCATATCATGCTAAAGAACGTTGGTTTGACTTGACACCATAGCCACTAAACAACCAAAAATCTAGTCAGCACATTCTCCAGCCTCAGTGAGTATTTGTGGCAACTCTTTCTGAGATATCTTCTGCGTAAATAGGGGCTGGACGCACTTGCAGACAGCTCTTAAACATGATGCCTTTAGTTATGGTAGTCACTGGTGCTGAGGCATTAGTTTCAGTATGTTTATTGTCCAAGTTTAAAAGTTTAAAAAGTCTAAAACAGGGCTGATGTATATGTCATCTTCCCTGTGATGGCAGGTCATGGGTGGAAAACAGTTTAGACTCAGCCCAGTGATCATGATCACCCCTCAGGCGCCAGTCGCTTTGAGCGTGGTTTCCTCAATTCAACCTCAACATCCGAGTCCTGTGGTCTGACTGAAAAGCATCACCACCAGGGAGGCTCAGAAAGTAACTGCCTAAGCCTGGACCACATGTATATGGAACCAAGCAAATACAAAGGGTACACAGAGAATTGCAAAGTGTGCAGAACATTTGCCACCTACCTGGTAGATATTTGTTCAAAGATAATGCACATTTCAAGCCTTTTCTCGATTATTTGAGGCACAGACACTTCCTTCTCAGGTCAATATCAGTAAAGTGAACTCTCTGTATTTACAGAATATTCCAGAACTTGATGCCTTTATGAATACAATAGAGCTCATTTAAATCTGAGCACAGCTTATTCATTAAGAGTTTTCTTTCACTGATAACGATCAAAACGCCTTTTTGTTCATCCTTTAACCCTGGAATGGCAGACAAACTTTTTTTAAATAACACTGCGTGTTAGAAAATGCTGGTAGAATTTAGGAAATAACTTTGAATTAAATACAACTCCAGAGACGGTTATTCAAGAAATAACTTTTGCTCAATGCACATAACAAATATCATGTCCATCATGACTTATTTGTTGTTTGACTGCAGAAATAACTGAAAACATACACGTCACGTTTATTTGATTGGGATTTCTCTCTTCTTCCAGATGTTCGGCTGTGGTGCTGTGGCCCAACTAGTCCTTAGTAAAGGTTCTCACGGCATGTTCCTGACTGTCAATTTTGCCTTTGGCTTTGCTGCCACTCTGGGCATTCTGGTCTGTGGCCAGGTATCAGGTATGGAAATCGATTTCTCTGAGTGTGGAGGTGGTGATGCATTGCATGTTTCCTGTGCCCAAAGTAGTCAGAAAGATATTTTTATCAAGTAAAATATATATTTTTTTTATTCTATGATCATAAGTCAGACAAGTCTGACCTTGTTACATTATATGTATAATTATATATATTTCAGGCTCTGTTTTTGCGCTGTGTGCTGTTCGCCTGTGCTGATCTCCTCTCATTTGTGTTGCAGGTGGACATCTGAACCCTGCAGTGACCTTTGCACTGTGCCTGCTTGGAAGAGAGCGCTGGAGAAAGTTCCCCATGTTCTTCCTCTTTCAGACAATCGGTGCTTTTTTGGGTGCTGCTATCATTTTTGGCATGTATTACGGTAAGCAATGACTCTCAGGATTGTTCTGTCAAAAGAGCATTTTTAATGTTTAATTGTGCATCTACTACTTTTAATCAGTAGCTCAATACAAAGACAATAAGTCCTAAGTCCTCTCCTACATTAATGTTTTTTTTTATTCTTGGATTTAGATGCCCTATGGGACTTTCCTGGGGCTTTCAATGTAACTGGACCCAACGCCACAGCTGGCATCTTTGCCACCTATCCTGGAAAACATCTGACTCTTGTCAATGGCTTCTTTGATCAGGTACTTAACAGCATTGGGAACTGTCGTACAGAGAATGCAACACGTTGATTTGTAGACCATCGAACTCACCAACCTTCACGTGTATCTTTCTCCAACAGATTATTGGCACAGCAGCTCTGATCGTCTGCATTCTTGCTATTGTGGATCCGTACAACAATCCCATTCCCCAAGGGTTGGAGGCCTTCACTGTGGGATTTGTGGTTTTGGTCATTGGACTGTCCATGGGCTTTAATTCTGGCTATGCCGTAAACCCAGCTAGAGACCTTGGCCCACGTCTTTTCACTGCTATGGCTGGATGGGGGATTGACGTCTTCATGTAAGTGCATATATTTGTTACTGAGCAAATTAGTTATTTTGTATAATCATGCTTCACAATGGCATCACCCCATATCACAACTTTTTGTTTTCTAACTTTAGAAATGGATGGTTCCTTGTACCGATTTTGGCCCCATTCCTGGGTACGATCGTTGGCGTGATTATCTACCAGATGATGGTTGGCTTCCATGTGGAGGGAGAAGTACGCGATAGAACAGAGAGAGAAAAGGAGAATGTCCCACTAACGAATGTCAACTCTAAAGAGGCCAGCAAAGAGATTATCTGAGTCCATCAAAAAAGCTAAACACTCATAAACATGTACATAGTGTCATACCACTAAACTTCTGATCTGCTACTGGTATGTTGTTGATTTAAAAAAAAAACTAAGTATGTCAAGACAGCTAAGAGTCTGTCTTTTTTCCATTTCTCCTTTGTGTAAGTGTATGATATTGTAGAGAAACGGATGTGTACAGTATGAGTAGAAGAAAAACTGACAGGATTGGATTCTTTTGAGATCTGAACATTTGGAAACTATTGTTTCTATGACTTTATTTCTAACAGTATTTACGTCTCCAAACCATTTTAGTTTTATATGATTTTATATAGTTTTACATTCTTTGTACTCAATAAAGAAATGTATCTTTACCTGCCAGTTTCCATGCATTTTCTGTCTACAGATCCTTTTATTCCTAATATATCTCATTTCAGGAAATCTACTCATTATAAACATAAATGCACATAACATACTTGATCCTCCTGAGTTCAAAGGATCAAACCACTAGCATGTATATTGTCCAGAGTCTAGACTATGTGAACCAAGTTGTCTGGAGCTAACAGGCAGTGGTTAGGCTCTTCCCACAGCATTCCCAACACCACCATTACTCCCTCAAACCAGTTATTTCAGGCTGTTGTTTGAATACACCCTCTGCACTCAGAAAACAAATAAATTAAATAACCAGTAATGCTAAATTTGTAAAGCATATTTTGTGTTACATAAATGTGATCTCAACAAGATGAGCTGCTTCAGAAAGCTCATTTTGCAACATTCACACATTCAGAGAAATACTTTTTGGTGCTATGATTTTACTGATAAGTGACATAATCAAGAAGAGAGGATATGAATACAGTAGTATTAACACAATGGGACATACATTTTTTGGTGTGTGGAAAGCTGAAAAAATGGAAAGCAGCAGGAATTGCCCAGTAAACCCTTCGGGGAACGCTGTATGTCTGAATGCAACTCTTAAATGCATCCTTAACCCTCCTCAAAAGCTCCCAGACTTTTGCTTCCTGTTTACAGAGACCTATCCAATGTTCATTTGGACCAAATTACATGTTTTTAAATTGTGTTGCTTTATGAGGGACTGGACTATGTGTGTTTGTGTCCTCACAACAATAAGTTTAAAAAAAAAATCTTGTTTGTCACATTGTTTGGTGGATTTCTAACTGGATTCAGATTACATAAGATAAAAAGCAACAAAAACAGGAGGAACTACTGAATTACAATGTGTAGACAGGATTTATGCATGAGCAAGTAGTCTTTATTGAATGTCTGGCACTGCTTTGAATGTTGGAAAAACTTTACTCAAATTTATCTCTGAAAATAATTCACTGTTCAAATTAACTTGGGAAACAAGATTATCGATGTTTGTACAAGCGAATCGTAAATTAAACAATGGAATAAAAAAATATTGGGCTTATAGAAACAAATACATTTGAAATTCTACGCAATGCAGATAAAGTTACGATGCTGGTGTTTGGTAGATAATTCTCATGCCTCTCAGCATTTTACGAGCAATTTCCCCTCAAACCAAAACCAGTTTTCATTTAGTGCATACATAACCAGGAGTCAAACAGACGACACATGCCTTCCCAGAGAAATTCCTGGGAAAAGAGTTGAATCTTTTTCGAAACTGAATGTCTGTTTTTGCTTTATTTAAAGATAATTTCACTGAGTGCATTCCACTAGTAAAGTAATTTGATAATTCATTGCACAGTAATTGCTTGGAAAAACCTTATTTGGTTTCCCTTAAACCCCTACAGTGCACTGCTGTTAAGACAGGCGAGCATGAGAAAAAAGGGCGGACTTTGAAAAGATGAATAAAAAAAGATGACTTGAAAAAAAAACAACATTTGCTTTTAAAATTCTATTTGGATTTAAGTCACCAAAAAGCACAACATTTGGTGTTACATAAGATTCAGAAGCTTTAGTGAAGTGAAAAGTATTAAGAAAGTCTATCTAAGTATAAAGGCAATGGTGTTGTCTGGCAGGGCATAACACCAGGTTTGAATAGCTAAGATTGAAAGTAATGTAAAAATGGATATGACACAATATTAAGCAGTTACTAATGTACATTTTTTTCACACTTGTTTTTCCTTTTGTTAGCTTGTTCAGATTAGTTGAAAATGTAAACTATTTGAACCAGATTTCTTTACTTGTTTCTCACATGGAGCACTATAAAAGGTTGTTTCAGAAAGTCTTTTTTTTTTTTAAAGTTTTCTTTCAAGAAAAACAAAGACATTAAACTCAACATTAATCACAGAGATGAGCCCATAAGCCTCTAACATTACATCCTGTGGTAGGGGGCATGTCTGGACCTAGTGAAGGCTTGATTTCAGGAGGAGGGGGGTTGAGGGGGGGCGGCTTGAATAAGAAATGTGCATGCCCACAACTAAATTTTCAGGTACAAATATCTTTGTTCTAACAGGACTCACTGCTGTGTATATCTGTAAAAGCTCCAACATATCCCTAAGGCCTGAAGCCTTGTTTCATAATTCATCAAAAATATTGGCACTTGGCTGGATTTCACCATTGAATAACACAAATGTGCTGGAAAAACAAGGTAATAGATATTTGGGGTAAGGGAAGAATACCTATACCTGATCATTTAAGGCGTATTGTGATTCTGGAGATAAGAAAACAATAAAGTTAAAAAGAAATGCTAAAGAAATAGACCTGTAAGAGAAAAATAGAGCAGGAGGTGACTTGGCTGGTAATTTCCTGTTAGCAACTTTCAAGCCCTGCTTTATGGAGCTATAAAATGCTCAGACTGGGATGCTAATAGCCTGTTTTGTTGCACAGAGTATGAAACTGTTGAGGGGAAAGTTGGCACCATGTGTACACCATGTGCAAAGTCAAAATATTTAAAGTTTCTTGCTGGAGTGACCCAGTTTAAAACATGGTTTCACGTGGTTCCCATCCTTTTGGAAACAACAATAAAGCTTAATGTAAGAGTGATGTTTTCAATATACTCATTTGTGTTTCTCTTATTGAGTTCTCGAGTATTCTGTTCACATTTTCAGTAAGGTGCTTTGTAAGCAAACTGAACTCCAATTAGGAGGTCCACAGACAATGATATTAAGACATCAAAAGGTAATCAAATCAATTTCAAGCCACATTCCGCCACAGATGAGAATTTCCCCATAATCTTTCAAAATGAACTATTGTTTACAGACAAACCAAGCCAAGCAAATAGCATCCCTGGAGGTTATCAAAGTACTTTACCACAAAAACTTTCTTGATGAACAGGCACATACAAGCAGAACATAATAACAGAGTCATCTCAGGAAATTAAACAGAAAAGGAGACTTCTGTGTAAGGAAAAAAAGGTCTTCTGAACACATCTGTCATTTTCTGGTCTCTTCCTTGCTCATGTCTTCTCCAACCTTTCTACAAAGCCTGATGTGTCCGGAACTGTTGGGAGTATAAAATCAATTTTTAAAATGATTCTTACTGGTTTATTGCTATGACAGGTCGGGGCAAAATGGATCTCAGGAATTGGGGCTGTTTCTTGTTAATGCCTCATGAGGAGCAACTATGGAAGGAAACCAATATGACTGTGGTTATGCTACAGTTTATCCCTCAGAGAAATGTGTCCTTTCCGCAGAAATGATTAAACTTCCATTTACCCAATTAAGTCATAAGAACTAAGATGGCCAGAATACTCAGGAATGATTTGAGGTAAATACTTAATCTGTGGGGCCACCTTAAGAAATTTATTTCCATAAAGTCTGATGATTAAGACGACATTTTTGAGGCCTTTCTTAATTGTCAAACACTGTATTCTCAATTTTTGGAATCAGAGCTCACATATCTCGCACAATGTTACTACAGTTTACAATATGGCTTGGCTTGATATAAATAATACATTGATGGATTCTGAAACCAGATATGTAACCTTGCAGAGAGCTGAGTCAGCTCTCTCACACACCCCTTATTCATACAGCTGTCACCCCCACCTTCTTCTGCCTTACCTACAAAAAGACTTGTCAGTGCACATACAGTTCTTTGGACGTTGACAAATCTACTATTACTTTGGAGGCTAATTCATACACACGAACTGAAAATGACATATTGATAGTTTATGGTGAATGTTTTTAATTTTGCAGATAATACTTATCGCATAAATACTGTACGGAACTGTATACTCATAGGAAACAAAAGGGTTTTTATTTGATCACTTTCACAAGTGTGACAGGGAATTAAAAAGTGAAAGAATAGCCCCATTCAGGTTTAAACCAATCAAAGGCAAAGATAAATAAAATATGTTAAGGAGCTCAAATGCTAGCTTTGCTTAAAAGAAGAAAAAAAGGAGAGGATTGAACATGTGTTTTTTATCTTGGCATATGGTTGCGTTTCAAAGAGGTGTGGAATGTCTTGGCATTTTCAAGCTTTTGCTTGCTGCTTTGCAAACTCCGAGGCCTCTCATTAGAATTAACAAGACCAGGAGAGGACACAGGGTGTCGGGCGGTGGTCGGTCTTTGTGAAAGTGGATGTCATACTACTTCGAAACGCTCTTCAACAAAAATCGCTGCTACCTTCTCTGCCTCTTGCAATGGTTTGTCCAGACATGCTCATTATTGTTAAAAATGGGCAGAGTTCAAACTAACCTGCGGAGCACCACCCAGGCCTCTCCTCCCAAAAAATTCAGAAAAACATCCTTTGGTTTTTTGGTGTAAACAGACTCCTCCTGCTGGGAAATTTCCACGCCACATGGAAGTGCTTTGTTTTTTGCACCTTTCCCGCCCTCATCAACAGCATATTGCAGCTGTGATAAATGCATCCCTGCAGATCTTTTCATGGAACTTCAGTAAAGGACCGTCACTACTCCCCTACCTGTTAAGAATGTGGAATGACGGGAAATGACTTGGGTAACTGTAAGATCAAACACAAAAACAACAGTTAACTACACAGCTACATTTTATTAGCTCCTTCACAGTTATTAAAGCAAATTAGGCAAAGTTAAAAATAATAAAATCTACTAAATGTGCAACTAAGCAAATCTGGTAGTAGCACAAAACATCTGTTAGACATCTTAGATCTTGTTCCATCGTGTGCTTTACTTCCATCGTATCAATCCTTTTTTCAAGAAACTCTTGAAGACCCACCTCTTCAAAGAGCATCTCCTATCCTAACCCTAACCCGTACCTCTACCCCCCCACAGCTCCTTCTGTAGCCCCTCTACCTCTATCTCTATCTCACCACTGACTCTGATCAGTGTTTCTGTTCTATATAGTTTATTGTCATTGTGATGAGAAATGTAATATTGTGTCTACTCTGTAAGTCGCTTTGGATAAAAGCGTCTGCCAAATGCATAAACATAAACACATAAACACATAAACAATCCACAATTTTACATTTTCAGAAACACTAACAGACATCTCATGATGGCTGACTGGATTGTATCTGTTGATTAAAGATGGGAAAAAAGGCCTTTGATAAGGAGCTACAGTGGAGAGTTCTATCCACTGATGCTCCCAAACTAAAATAAATACTCTGTTCTTAAGCTAAATATATCAGTGTTCTAATGTCAGTGTCATGGATTTACTTAAATCAGCAGACTGAAACTAAATCAATTTAAGCTATTAGCAATCTAGATGTGCTAATGTTTTTGTAATAACCTTTCGAGGGACGCAGTTACATAATACTGAAATACTAACGTTAGGAAGCCAACTTCCATAAACAGCTGCAAACGATTTTATCTCCTCAAACACATCAAAGCCTCAAACCAAGTGTAATTAGGTTTTCCCAAAGTAGCCAAAACATCCAGATATGTTAGGCTTTCAGTAGTCTGCCCTGTTTTCTGCATTTAAAGGCCAGCAGTGTCTCGAAAACCCTCATTCTATCGATTTAGGCAAATATGTGAAAAGACTCCTGGGTCGAGACTGAATGCAGCAGTATTTGTTCTAAAGCAAGGGCAGGTCATCATAGTTTAAACAAATATTAGTTTCCTATGTTCTTATGCAGCTAAAGTCTTAAGTCATGGTTTCTTTGTTGAGCCCTTAAGTGGCGGTTATCACAACTCAACCCACATAAGCTGAAATCTTTAGGACTCATGTTTCACTCTTTTTATCCTGCTGGCATTCCATCAAAAACTCACTTGAAGTAAGGACTCAGTTTCTTTGAAAACTTTAGTCCCCTTCATACTCAGCCTTTTCTTTCCTGACAACTACACAATTTTGGTAAAAAAAACAACCCTTTCACAACTCAATCATGTATTATTTATAAACCTTCACCTATACTTAACAAGCCACGGGCAAAAATAAAAGAAAACCTGACCTCAATTAGTCCGGCTCCTTCTCATTTTCCCACCTTTTAACAAGATAACATACCTGCCCCTGCCCCATGTGCCAATCATGCCCACACAAAAGCGACCACATCCAAGGCTACATGACCAATACAAGCATTCAGGCTTCGTACAGTGGAGTAACAGTGCCATCTTTCCACTCAATGAGGATCTCTCCTCGCTGTAAAGTGGGGGAGGAGTGTGGGAAGCGCATGGCATGTTCTGTGAGCGGGGCTCGCTCACTGAGCACCGGCGATCCAGGAGCATTCTTGTCCGCCCTTGGACTGTAGGACTTCAAAACACAGACCACTTTCTTCCTCCTGACACAGTAACACAGGCAGAAAGAGACAAAGATGATTTTGTGTTTTTTTTGTGGGGGGGGTGCTCGACTATTGGCGCACCAGATTTCTTCCATTTTCTCCCCCATTGTGTTGTTGTGATTAAAGCTGTCATTTTTCTTTTACATGTGTTACAATAACCACATAATTCCCTAAATGGCGTCTCTTAAATTCCCCAAATTAGCCTACCGTAAATATGGCCATAGACCACTGTGATCTTTAAAAAATAAGATTGGCATCAGATATTTTTAATAGATTCACTATTACATGTCAAATTAACGTTTGAAATAGTTAATAAACTGTTTTTTTACTTTGTAACTCGACATAAACCACGTGTAGTTGAGTGAATGGGTGTGTCGGCGTTCTCACCTGTTTGAGTACACATTGAGGATAAGGATCACAGTCCCCAGGACCAGGGCCAAAGAGCTCAGCACCAACATTGTTATCTTCCAGCCCATCCCTGCACACATTTACAAATACATGCTAAACATTTTACATACCCAACTTATTAAAGCATAATCTGTGGCTGACATTCACATTTTTGCTTAATTTAAATAAACAGCATCTTTTGAATGCAGAGCCAAAGAGCTCAGCACCAGCTTTGTTATCTTCCAGCCCATTCCTGCTCACATTTACACATGCCTACTAGTTATTTTACATAACCAACTTGTCAAAACATAATCTACTGCTGAAGTTCACAAATTTGCTTAATTTAAATAAACACTGGCCATCTTTTTTTTAACTACCCTTGTAGATGTTGCAGAACAGCCTCCTGAAATATGTGAACATATTCCCACCCAGTGGCAGAAGAATGTTGTTGCACTCATGTGTCAAGACTCCCACTCATGTCTCTTTTGGCTACCTCTTGTGGCAGAGATGGGGTCCCCATTTCAGAGGGCAGGTCTCACTTGCCACACCCGACCACACCTATGCCCCTGCCAGTAAACCCTGTGCCCTGTGCAGGCTATAAGTTTGTTGCTTGCCCAGGGTTCACCCCTTTTGAAACAGCATTGCCTCCTTTCCCAGTTCCAGTGTGTGTCTTCTGGTTAACGTGAGTTTGAGATTTTTGATTTGCTTCCTTGTTTCTTTGACCAACCACTGGATATATATTGTGTTGTGTTGTGTGTGATGTTTGCTAAACTTACCATAGTCCATACTGAAAAAAATCATGGTTGGATCTGCGGGGGATTTGGTGCTCAGGTACTGGTCAGTGAGGTCTGTGGCGGGATACGGTTCTGTGCCACCAGTGCCAATTTTACCTGCAACTGGAATCAAAGGAAAAGATTCAAGTCATCCTAATGGCTCATTCACTCAATTGCTTAGCATTGGGTGTATTTAGTGTTTCCTCTGCCTCTTTCTTTTTTCTTCGGGCCTGCTCTTAAGCTTTCTAACTGCTATGTCAGACACTGAGAGTCTCTGCATTCCATCCAGACGTGCATTTCATTCTAATGCAAGCTAAAATTACAGACCAGTTTTTGTTCTGCCCCTAGACCCCTTCTGTGCATTCAGCCTTTTTTTGGGTGCAGTTCTGACCTAATTTTTCTTTTTCACCCACAACAGTGAACAGGTAACAGACTGAGGAAGAACCCGCCCGCCGTAAAGTACAGGTAAGAATCTGTTTTGTTCCCATTTCACAAGCCTTCCAGGGCCAGAAAAAAGCTGTTCAGATGAGTACTTAAGTCAATTTGATTCTCATTGTCCATGCAAGACCGCTGTAACTGAATTTCTGAACACTTCAGGGTGTATCACAAGGGCAAACCTTAGTTTTGTTTTTTATGTCTATTGCATTTCAGATGATTGGTCCAAGAAACATCTCAAAAGCTCTTTTTGAATCTGTTGAATTTAGAATTAAATGTTTGAACCCTGCCACATTAAATGTTTGAAAATGATCCCTGCTTGGAACTTAAGGGAATTTCCAATCGGTCTCCAAGTTAGAAATGATGTCAAACAAGGATATTACTTCTGAATTACATTGGAACCTTGGGTATAGAAAAACCGTTAGGAGTACACTACATAAGTGAGACAAGTGAGATGCACATTGCTCCTTACATGCTTCATCCTGTCTTTTCAAAACCGAGATGCCACTTAGAGAAACTTCTGTTTCCAGTTCCTCCAGTTGGTGGGGAGGTTGGTTTTGGTCATGTTTGTGGTCCCTTCCAGTGCACAGGGTCTGGTTATCAAGTGTTCTCCATCTACTGCCCTGCTTGAGAAGAAGAGGTACAATCAAAATAATAAAAAATAAAGAGTTTATAGTTCAAGATGTGCAGTCCACCTTTATACCTTTAGTTGGAGAATGTATACAAAATCCTATGAAGGCTCAAACACATGAAAGAAGGAGATGGCACATCTGATTTTCCTGTAAATTTTTCTTACCTGCTTATGGTCCCTGGACAGGAAGACCAAAGTGGACTCTTGCGCAGCACTGAGGTGTAACCCTGTCCCCGTTAGAGTAAGATGGCCTTTCTTTGAGCAGGTCCATGCCTGGCTGCTGGCTTTTCTTCCTGTACCTGCCCCAAAAACTGCATCTGGAGAGAGGCAGGGCTGCAGATGGACACCCTCATACTCCCCTCTGGGTGCGGTTAGACACTCTCCAGTGTGCAGGCTGCTGAGAGCGCCGCCCTCTGGCAGCCAGCGCCACTCCTGGGATGGCGAGTATGGGCTGCACTCTCCCAGTGACACTCGACCTCCTGCAGTTCCGTCTTGCACCAGCAGGCATTTACCCAGAAGCTTGTTCTGAATCTTCAACCCTGACATCTCTGTGAAGGGGATGCATGGAAGAGTAAAGATGTGATGTGCACAGTGGCACTCTGTTCTAGAAAGGGTGCCAAGTGGACAGATGAAGAATAAAATAACTACTTATTTTATTTGAATAAGGCAGGTAATGTAAGGAGAAAGCCAAAACAAAACCTTAAATTTCAGAGTAAGACCATGAAAGATGGTGGAGATATCATGCTCTGAGTCTTTTTTCTTTTGCATGTGGGTCGCTTTAAATCAAGATTTTGACCATGAACCAGGTGTACTACTAAAAGAATAAAAGGATATCTTGCAATAAAGATATCGTTATTAAACTCCTTACTGGACTTTGGTGCAGGACGAATTCATCCTGCACAGAAGTCACAAAATTCAGACATCAAGAGTCCCATTTGACACTGCCATGAATATTGTTCTGCTGCTTTAATACTCTCATCCCTGTAAGTGACCCATTTAAATCTTTTACGTAAAAGTTGGTGAAGTGGATGATTTTGCATGCACACAAATGGGCCTCACAAATTTCCAAGCACTTCGTTTACTGCAAAGTTGCACGAAATCGAATTGAAAACACCAAATACATGTATAATCTCATCCAAACTAAATGTTTGTGAGTAAAGCTGTGAGGTCTGAGCACGAAGGGCGTAAAGACCGTGTTAAACCTGTGGCTGCTCAATCCCCAACTCCAGCACAGGTCCTTTATTTATTCAATAATTGATAGTATTTTCCATCAATAGAAAGCCTGCCCTCGCTCATCGGTAAAGTTATCCTGCCGGCAGGTCCAGGCTTCACGGGCACGAATCCAAGAGTAGCGGATTAGAAGTTCCCACAAAGTGTTGCTCTGCTGTCGCGACGCAGGGCTCTTAAAATCAAAGCAAAAACCTACTACAAATAGTTATTACCACTATGAGAGACGGAGTTATAGATCACAGGCCCCCTTTATACTGGACCCGGTTTGTGCTTCGGCCATCGTACATTTGAGCGCGCTACCCTGACGAAACAGTCGGTTTTGAAAGAAAGACAGATCTGCAGAAAGCAACAGTTTGTTTACCTTTGAAAAGGACAAAAACAAGCAAGCAGACAGACGGCAGCTTTCCTCCTCCCATGGCGATGGCAGACAGGGACAGTCCCCCTGCGCTGGGGCATTTATGGTGCACCCCGGCACCATAAAAAGTGGGAGGGAGAACAGCCATCCCGTGCACAAGGGGGGGGGGGGGGCGCTTCTCCCACCCTCAATCCATGTTCTAAAGTGTGTTATCCTCTCTGTGCCCACTGCCTGGGTGGGCCATTGCAGCAATCTGATCGTTTTCTTCACACTTTCACATTCAGGTTGAGTTTATTTAAAAAGTGATATGGCACAATGTCCCATACTTTATTGAGGACAGTGAAATCTACTCTACTGAAATACATATGCAGTAGACCAAAACAAACAGAAGATTAAAAAACTTGAACAAAAACAACCTCAAATGTTGACATATGATTGAATGAAAGATTAAGTAACAAATCCAAATTTCTTCTCTCCCCAAAGCCTGCACCCTTCTAAAAAAAAAAGTAAATAACCCAGCCAGTGATGAGCAAATAACTATTGTCACCTTACACTTGACAAAGTCTGCGTCATTTATAATAAGAGCCAATACGGAAAAATGCCTCCTTAAATCACATACATTCCTCTCACGAATAATACCTGAGACCATTTTAAAATGTGTGAATTTAGCTAACAACTGTAAACACACTCCTTGTTTGCCTCTTGGTCAGTGTTTCCAGCCGCTGGGCCTTGACTTCATGGACTACTAATGAGTTTTAAAGAGCATAAATCTGTTTAAAGAACAAAATGGCGCTCCCAGATGAATGGGATAGCTCCACTTGTCATTGAGAGGAATGCGACAGCTTCTTCGGGTCCGAACAGCCACGTGATGTTTTTCTTAGGGGGCTGAATCCACAGCATTATTTACTCCACAAAGAATGTGAAGGAAGTGCAGGAAAATGTGGGACGGAGAGGGGGAACAAATGCCAACACAACTGCAGGTACAGTATGACTCACAGCTCAGTCCAAAGGCATGGCAATGCGTTTGCTCTGCATCTGACTAAAAATCCAGGACTTAAGAGTGTCTTCCGTGACTATAATTTGTGGATAACCTATTTTGCCACTGCAACGGCCACACCCATACACTACATCATATCTCATATTGGTTTCTGGGCTTGCTCTTTGGCCTCCTGAGTTGTTTGCTTTTGTAACACTCCATTCACCACTCCTCATGCACTTGTGCACCAATGACTGGATGACTGAAATACGCCATGGATTTTCCTTCTTTCTACAGAACTTAAATTGGTTGAGTTTTTACATATACTTATATATTGGGTTAGTGGTAACATATACAGACTCGTAAAAGACGCACTGACTTAAATAGAAGTTTGTAAGATCAAATCTCATTGCACAAAAAATAAAAAGAAGAATGTCAAACAAGTGTAATGGACAGCACACCCTGCCCTCTTCTCAACACAGAATGGAAACAAGAGTGGGATAAAGTCAAAATGTATCTTAAGATATTGTCATTGTTGACCTACCTTTATCCTTTTCTCCCACTATGTAATCTTTAACTTTGAATAGTCTCCTGTGTGCTGTGTGTGAATGCCATCCTCATCTCCTGCTTCTGTCCAGTGTCCCCTTTGGTTTTAACCAACAAGCTCTTGACTTTGGCGTCTTTTTTCAGTTTGAAAGTCACCGTGCCTGTGGTGGTGTTTCCCTCAGAAAAAGTTCCACTGGAATTAACCCCCTCATACGTTATTTCAAAGTCCTTCATACAAGACATCGCAGGTGTATCGACGGACACCATATGACTCCAGAATTGCCCCACAGTTGGCAGGTATCACAGCTGAAACATCGGATGCTTTGTTTTGCACGGCTCCACCCTAACCTGTGGTCACAGGGGGAATTCCATCTAACAACTATTATGACATTATTTTTGAGCAATCTTCTTCCATAAGAGCTTACATTTGTATGTTATGTTTCTTTCGTTCCTTTAGAAAAATAAATAAATAGGCAAAGTACAATGGGACCTACCTTTTATCTTTTTCTGACATTGAGTGTAGTTTAACTCTGGATAATCTCTGTGTGAGATCTCCTGTTATAGCCACATCTTTCAGTCCAGTGCATGCATGCCTTTAGTTTGGTCCTGAGTAGCGGTGGATAACTTGAACCAAGGGATTCAAGATTAAGTTCAATGAGGAGGGCAGCAAAGTCCTTACAAACCAATGGCACCACCTAGACTGAGCAATGCAGCAGTATGACAAAACTTTGTTAAGACAGAGTAAACCAAATGTCTTCATTTCCTGAGGAAACAGAGACAAAAGACTCAGTGTGGTACCTGGATTTAGTGGATTATTTATTTGGAGCTGACTTTTGGCTTTACAGGTTTAGATATGTGAAACCATGTCCATACAGTTTATGTGTTGTTAAAAATAGCTTTGAATAACTTGCTTTTACCTTAAGTACTGAAATATTCACACTTGATGCCGCTACTTGGCTGATCACTCTACTCAATGACGATAAACACTATTTCCCAGCTAATGGATCCCACTCACTGGCATCATGGGAGATCATTGCTGGGTTGAAAATCCCTGTTGTCACACAGATTAGTATCTGCAAACTGATGGCTTTTTAGCCTTCTGGGCGAACCTGATCTTTTGGTTGATGTCGTTCACAGTGTTGGTAACAGTTTGATAACAGTGTTATGTAATTAATTGAAATCTGTTTGAATATGATTTTTATATTGTTTTAATAGGATCTTCACATCAACAAAGTTAGATCAAATAATCAGCGTTATTAAAGTTTTGTTTATAATCAAAAAGCCACAACAAAGTTTCGCACTGAAAATTTACTGAGAAAGTTGGATCTTTAATAAAATCCATTAGTTGGAGAAATGATTGGCACTTAGTGAGTTTGACAAAATTAACATCCATATGCTACATAGTCGAATAAACTTAATTTCAACATGAAAGATTAAGGACTTCAGTGACTGCTTAAATGAAACAGAAAGACATAAATACATTAAAAAAAATGTTAGCAACCATGCATGTTTCATAAGGGAGGTAGAGGATATGGTTACACAGACATGCTTAAAAGGACACTTTAGAATTCGGACAAGCCCTGTGATATGGAGTGCCGTCCTGTATACTGAGACTTACAATTTCCACACTCTACGATAAATAAAGCCAACCGCCAATCTAAACTGAACCATCACATACACTGCACAAGGAGTTCTTATCATTCCACCGAAGATAATAATCAACAACACTTTTGTTTTTCTTTTAACAACTGCTTTATATGCTGTTATTGGGCTGATTTGCGCTCAAAGGCTCAGTAACTCATTTTCCATCACGATTGTTTTCAAGGGGTGAAGATGGGAAAAGCAACGAATACGCCGGTGGAGCTTCGTCTGTTTGAGACAGAAAGTCTGCATCCATCACTGGTGCACTGGGCCGCATGCTGTAGTTGGGAGCTGTTGGAGACTGAAAGGAAGGGGGGCTGAAAGGTGGAGCTGATGGGGGTGGATTAAATGGAAGGGTAGGAGGTGGAGGGTGAAGCATTGAGGAGGAGGATGAAGATGAAAACGGGGAGCTGTATGGAGAAGGGGAGCTGTATGGAGAAGGCAGCTGTGGAACTGGGTTGCTGTAGCCCACGGTCATGTGCGGTGGCTGATGTGGGTATGCGGGCGGGGGAGTCGCATACATCGGGGCTTGTGGGTATCCATATCCTCCTGGATGAGGAGATGCAGGGTACAGGCCTATCGGCACGGCGGGGGGGAAATCACTATTGCTTGGACCACCAAAAGCTCCAACCTCATGGGGACCCACAGCCCTGCAATTCTGAGAGCCTGGAGCGCTGCCACCAGGTATAATGATCACAGGGAAGACAACCTCGGGATCGAAGCTAAAGCTTATGTCCAGAGACACCTAAAAGAGGATATGTCTGCTTATTAGTACATAATGACCCTTTTAAAATGATAACATAAAAAGAACACAAAATAGTTACAAATCTTTGGCAAACCTATCGGTTTCACTTACTTAGCTTAACATAGCATAGCTGACATAGCTTAAGATAAGATATATATGTTGTTACAGTGACACAAACCTTTAAACGGTATTCCACTGAGATGATCTGACAATTCTGGATTGTTGGGATCTGTTCAGGGGGAATCATCACTAAACACTTGACCGTTTCTTGAGAACGAGCTTTAACGGACTTCCCAGCCACTTTGAAGATGACGTTGCTCTCTTCTTTGGTATCTCCTCTGGCCCGGAACAAGATGTCTTGCTTCACACTGAATTTGGGAGTCATCTCACTGGAAGAAGAATTGTTGATTTGTGCATTAACCTCCACTGTCTCACCTGTTAGGATGAAAACAAAAGAAAGAACTTTTTCTGAACTCTGATTCATATTCAGCTTCTAATCTCTGTACAATAGTGCGATGATTGTCACCATACATATTTTTCTTGTTCATAACATTCCATATTATCAAAGTTTGAAGAAGAATTTCAGTACCTGCAGCCAAAACAGACTTTTGAAGGATGACATCCATGTGTACATTTCCTTTTGAGAAGACTCCGAGCTCTTTGTCTGTTGAACCAACTTGTTGAGACTGGTGTGATAAAACGAAAAAACAATTGCCCTTGATTAATTTAATCATTAATACAATAAAATTAATAGTTTAAAGTGTTCCTTGCTAACTAAAGACAGAATGTAACATGGATAAACTGAACAATCAAATATTTCCAACCAATGGCAGTAAAATGCAAAGCATAAGGGAGTGGCCATGTCAAACAACAGGAGGTATTTCCTGTGATTTCTATCTGAGCCTTGTTTCTTAAAAGTTTGGAAACATTAGACATTACAGCAGATGTATGGATGGTAAGATAATTTTCTTTTGTAGAAATGTTCTAGATAAAATAGCCATTGAATATTAAACACCATCAGCATTTGAAGATCTGGATAAGACTTGGAAACAAATTTGATCTCCTTCTCCACTGTGGAGTCCATCCTCCAACTCCTGCACAGCTTGGCTTCCAGCTGGTAGACAATTTTTCCATGAGTTCCTCTGAAGGATGAGGGCATACTTCTGCAATAAAGGCACCAGCAGATTATTCAGACGAGATGCGGAAGAGCAATATACAGTACAGCGGGCCTAATGAGAGTCTGCTTGCTCTTGTTGGTTATAAGTAATTTTATTGCGGAAGAGCAAGCGCAATGTTTAGGCCACTGCTCTCAACATACTGCACTTACCCAGTTGGTATCGTGAAGCTGAAATGATAGACATGGGTCCCTGCCGGTAAAGTGATTTCTGAAAAGAAAAATAAAGATTACTGTGTTAAAACAAGCTTTTATAAATTCACCGCTGGGCTTCAAGAGATGATCACAGAAAGGAATCTTTAACTGCTGTTGCCTTAAATAATTGACTCATTTTAAGGTGTATATTTTAAACTGTCATTCATATCTATGTTTTACTTCCGTTCCTCTTAGCTTTGATCTACATCCATACAGTGGTGGCTCTGGCACAGCGTGAGCGCGTTAAAGCGCAGCCTTCCTGGCTCGAACCCGATCACCCACAGCTACAGGATGCTGTTTACGTTTAAATGCACTTCCCTTTACAGGATTGAAGCTGCAGCAATGGCATTTGATGAGACGTTTAACATTCACGCACGGCCTAACGGTTCATTCCCTTTGGCACAGGGCCGTGGCGAAATCCAGCAGCCGGAACTCATCCAGAGCGCAGACCAAACCTACCATCCGGGCTCTCCGGGAGTAAAAACTGCTTCAGTTTAAATAATCTCTGGTGGTCAGAGTATGTGCGCGTGTTGTCGCCGTTTCTCCTCGTCCAGTGCACGTTGGCGTCTCCCTTGGCCTTAACGAACAGTTGGTTAACTTTGGTTTGCTTTGATAAGGTCAGGGTGACGGCTCCCGTTATTCGGTCTCCCTCTGAAAACGTATCGAGCTCGTTCAGCGCGTCGTATGTCATCGCGAAGCTTTTGACGGAAGGCATCGCGGCACAAAAAGAGGGACAGTGTCGGAAATTAAGCCAGATTCCGCTCTACTACGATTCTCACACCGACGGAGTTTCCTGGAAGACATACTATGACGTATGCACCGGTCAGGGAACGCCCTCAGTGTGGAGGAGGACCACGGTGTTCTGGCAGATCTCTGCTGCCCTCCACTGTGAACCGGCAGGACAGGGAGACAGCAGCGGGGATGTGGGGCTGCACTGGTGCCCTGCACGCCTGCTCTGTCCTGCAGGGCCCCCGGGTGGTTATCAGCAGAACACGTCCCCCTCAGGCCTCATGTTTTAAGGCACTAGACAAAGCATCCCCTGGATGCAGAGCTGGATGTGCAATACAGTACTGCCCTCAGAAAACTGATTATAAAGATATGAGACATGCAGGGCCTCGGTTATCTGTGCGGATGTGCAGCTTTGGCCTATTTCTGACTATTTACTGACTCCCAGAGCCATGTCACGGATGGGCTGGGAGGTACGCTGCGAGGTGATGCTTCTCACCTGAGAAATGCAGCACCTGTAATGAATGCTGCGTTGGGAAGCTGGATGCCATCGTTTATTTAAAGGAATGCCGTTGTCAGGGTAAATGTGCAACTCTACCTGTGAGAAGGGTTATCTGCGTGCAGGTTAAGGAAAGGCCAAGAATGTGTGAATGTATCTGCTTTTCTGTGGAATGGGCCTAAACATCATTTTGTATCTACTGACCTTGCTCCACATTGACTTTTCTATTGAAGTTCTTGGGAAGTACAATTTTCTCCAGGTGAGGGGTTGCAAGCACAGAAAAAAAGATGTTAATTTTTTTATCGAGTTACAGGATTTGTTCAAGGGTTTTCTGCCTTATTTAGAAAAACAATGCCGAATACAATTATTTTTCATTCACTGCGTAGAGAACACTTGCTCTTTTGTACTTTATCTATTAACAGCAAAGAAAAAAATCCCATCATCAGTAAAAGCTCATCAATCTATGCTGTGTGTGTGTGTTTCCAGTTGCATTTCTTGTGTTCTTGGAGTGGGAGAGAGCTCGCCTTGGTCAAGTCCAGTCTTTATTAAGATTAATGAACAGCTTGACATTTTTAGTCCTCTGTCTGAATCGATAATTTTAATACTCATGAGGGCCAATGGGGATCTAAGCTTGTGGAACACACATTGTGGCCACAGGGCGCATGTTAAATGTCCAAGTGGTAATCAATGCAAAGAAATTAGCTATTGATTTCTTATAGTTTTGTAATAGGTTATCTATTGGTTTGCTCTTTCGGAAAATACCAATATCTGTCGGATGGAATTGTGCTGCTAATATTGCTTTTGGGAGTGTGTGTTTGAGTTTGCATGCACACACACGGCTTCCATGTGTTCATGTATGTGTATATAGGGTCACATTCCAATTAGCAAAGAGGAACAACTATAAATAAACATGCGGGCAATACACAGCCTTACATGGCTCCACATAAAGCTGAAAACTTCTGATTGGTTCTCAGCACTCTTAATGCTGACATGAGGACCAGTGACTGAAAACATCTATAATAAATGTTGGATATCAAGCTATTAGTACATGTTACATTATTATTATTATTGTATATTTAGGATGCAGCTGACAAACGTGCAGTACTTATTTCTGATGGAAATAAAGTTACAGGGGGAGGAAGTGCTTCATTTTTGGTGTGTGTTTACAGGTCGGGAAATTGAATTTAGATATGGATGTTCTTTGTTGGTCAGACCGGACATGGCAGCCCAAAGGAGGCTTATGTTAGAGTCTTTGTAAAAATAAAGTAAACAATTATGCAACTAATTTTTTCTTATAGTGAAATATATCTATACAGGTATACTTTTTCTTTATGATTTGTTCTCTTTGTTTAAGGTTAACATTTTCAGTGAGTCGTGGTTTTACTGGGAACGATTAGTGCACAAAAAGGTAGATGTGTGTCTCTTTTTTTGTTCTTTGCATATAGACCTTTATATATGCAACGAATATATAGTTGTTGTTTTTTTACCATGTTATTTCACGTTTTGGTTAATATTTAGTCTTTTGGGTTTTGCTGCACTTTAAGTTCTGGAAGCAAACTGCATCAAATGTTCCTGCTCAGTCCAACTGAAATTCACATGTATTAGTTATGATTTCAAAATATTTAGGGTAGTGACATTTAATGACAGAATGAGTCAGTAATCCTTACACGTGACCTTGCTTTTGATGAGCATATTTGCTCAAGCCAGCTTGCGGGACCTTTCATGAAGCGTGTTTAAAAGACTCTGAAGTGAGTTATTTCTGGTGGCACTTTAGTTGATATTCATTATAGACTGGTGCAAGGTTTGAACTCTACATGAAAAGTGTTCCTCTGATTTGCCCATGAGGTTATATCGGCCTACTTATTTGCCAACTGATAGAAACCCTGATGACAGGAAAAGAGGAGGCTTTTTTAGTACTATAGCTGGCAGTAGTCATAAATCAGCTGCTTAGATAAGTCCTATAGATCACCCCAACACAATGATCCTATACCTCTACCGTCATTACAGGGAAAAAAGGTGACATATTTGATTGATTAAAGTGTTGCAGGCTAGCTTAGGCTAAATCATGTTAAGTGATGTGACATTGCAGTTTCACATATCATATTTCTGTCAAGACAATGATGGTAGAAGGCATTGTCAAGGCATGATATCTGACAACCGCAGACATCTGGGGGGACCAGGGGGAGATTTATGAGAAGGTTTTAGTGGTCTAAGGGAGATGAGACGGAGTAAAAAGTGGTGCTTTTTTGTGCATTGTCACTTCCAGAGTGACTGTAAATTTTACCCCCGTGCTGTTGGGAATTGGAGACATTTACACATCCTGACAAACTGCCTGTTGTAAAAGTATTTATTGGGCTTGTCCTCGCTTTATTCTCGGCTAACTGGCAAACACATACCGCCTTTAAAGACAGAAATATTTATCCAAAGAAAATTTATGTGGTGCGTGTGGATGTGATGTACCTGAGCCCAATATGCAGCATAACAGTGTCATGTGGGTAACACCCAACTTCTGTTAATGCTTTAAACTGAGGGCTGAGGATCATTGTTTTATATCAGCTATATTGTCTCCATGTCATGTCCAGTTCAGATGCTGAAAGTTCTTTATTTAGCAATTTGCCTGCATCAGAAAGCTATTGTTACATAAAAAGGCGTGCTTTCTTTTCTCTCTCTCACTCACTCAAAACAAAACACACTGTAAACTGTAAAAAAACAGACAGAAAAAAACGGCTTTTTATTCATAAAATATCTTCACATCATGCAAGTTTTTCATTTGATGTATACTTTTGACGTTAGTGTTCATATTATGAGTGCAATCATTATTAAATACTCAGTTTATACATTTGAAAGTCATAATACCTTTCCTTGCATTGCAATGTATGTTTATTCAATAACAATTATAGACTGCAAAGGGCGGTTGATATTATTCCCATATAAAACTAACCAGCATTTAGGCAATTTCCTCTTTCTTTTATGTTGTCTTTTTGCTGTGTTGAAATCTTTCTCCACGTTTAAGAAAAAGCACTACAGATTGTTGCCACTGGGTGGCACTGTTAGACTACCAATAAGAAACTGTGGCTTTGGTGGGGGTGGTTGAGGGAAAAGGCAGGATTACACTTTTCTTCACACTCAGACAGAGCTATAATTTACTAATAGTGTGGGAGCCGCCATTGCTGTTATCTTTTAATAGATTTGTACGGGGAAAGCAGGTGCCTGTTGTTAATGCGTCCAATTGCCCAAGTTGCCTACAGAATTTAGGGGCATCCATCACTGTCGTCGGTGGTGACACCCTGTCGTTCTACTTCATGTGGCGGGCTGGCCGGGCTGGCCTGGTAACAGATGAGGCTTCTCTCTCCTCCAGACGCCCACAGTCACACAGAGACAACCACCATACATGCCTACACATCCACACACACACTAAAACGCACGGCTGTGTCTGACTCTTAAAGGGCAAACTAAAATCATGAGTAAAACAGCCTAAACTATAAATATTGATCTCAGATATTCAAACCATAAAACAACAATTTTATTCATAAAGAATACAAAAAGCAGATAGGCTAATCAAATGAGCAGAAACTCTTCTCTCCTGTGTTTTAAACTTGGATTTTCATCATCAGGTCTCCTTCCCTTCTAAATAGTTTTTCAGATAATTTTGTTTTCCAATGAGAATGCAACATACTAGACCCCACATATACAAAGAAACCATATATATTCATATTATATTATTATATATATATACATACATACATACATACATACATACATACATACATACATACATA